GAGTGTCAGCCAAAACAGCATCAGTAATTTCCTACTGTTTTAGAAGGCGTGGGTTTATTAGGGAAAGAGAAGATTTAGTGATACTGAGAGTTCCTCAGCAGTCTGGCTCTGTTCCCCTCTGCTTTCCCATGCCTTCATCCTTGTGCACTGTAGGCATCTCACCCTGCTTGGGTAGGAGATGAAAAGTTGCTCATGGTTGGCGAAGTCCTGCCAAGTCTGCATTCCTGAGTCTTAGAGCTCACCTTCAGTGGAAAAACTGCTTGTCAGTGACTGGTCCTTAATCATTCAGCTCTTGGACAGGTCTGACATTGCTGCTTTTGCAACCTTTGAAAAATTTGCATGGCAAATGGGGTAACAGGCCTGTTCAAAGCTGTCATGCATAGAGGAGTGGGGGAAGTAATTCTGTGGGTGTATGTATGCATTGGGAAGGCAATGCTGGCAGGAAGGCCTGGGCAAAGCAGTGCACTGCTTTCTTCATGCACAGGCATGTCCTGTAACTGCTGCAGGTTTGTTTCCACAAGTCCCTGCACAGCTTTTCTCTGGTTACTCCTCTCAGTGCACCTCTGCTGTTACGGTTGCAGGCATGCTGTGACGTTGCCATGAGCATTCATTCTAATATTGCAACTAGACACAAACTGCAGCAAAATCATCATCTCTGTCCACTGACTGTGGGGAACACAAGTGTTGCTTTGCTGCTCCAAAAGGCTTAGCTTTCCTTTATCTTAGGAATTTCCCAGTGCTTCTGGGAGAAAAATAGGGTGCCTCATCCCTGTGGCCTTGTCTTGCAACAAGCAGCTCATGGCTAAGGCTGTGTGAACATGCACCTCCATTGCAGCTCTTTTCTCATCAGCACTGAGGTTGTAACTGGAGCCAAACTTACAGGCCAGCCATCAGCCACTCCTTGAAGAGCATCCCACAAAGGTGTTTGCAACACCAGGAGCACGGTGACATGCGTATGTGATGATCAGTTCCTCTGCACACTTGTTCACAGAATCACAGAATCACAGAATTGTAGGGGTTGGAAGGGACCTCCAGAGATCATCGAGTCCAACCCCCTGCCAAAGCAGGTTCCCTACAGCAGGTCGCACAGGTCGGCATCCAGGCAGGTCTTGAACATCTCCAGAGCAGGAGACTCCACCACCTCCCTGGGCAGCCTGTTCCAGCGCTCCATCACCTCACTGTAAAGAAGTTCTTGCGCGTGTTTGTGCGGAACCTCCTATGCTGCGGTTTCCAGCCATTTCCCCTTGTCCTGTCTCCACTCACCACTGAAAACAGTCTGGCCTTGCCGTTCTGCCCCCCACACCTCAGATATTTATAGACCTGGATCAGGTCCCCTCTCAGTCTCCTTTTCTCAAGGCTGAACAGACCCAGTTCACTCAGCCTTTCCTCGTAGGAGAGATGCTCCAGGCCCTTCACCATCTTCGTGGCCCTCCGCTGGACTCTTTCCAAGAGATCCTTGTCTTTTTTGTACTGGGGAGCCCAGAACTGGACACAGTACTCCAGATGAGGTCTTACCAGGGCAGAGTAGAGGGCGAGGATCACCTCCTTCGACCTGCTGGCCACGCTCTTTGCAATGCACCCCAGTAAGCCATTGGCCTTTTTGGCCACAAGGGCACACTGCTGGCTCATGGCCGACCTGTCGTCCACCAGGACACCCAGGTCCCTTTCCGCAGAGCTCCCCTCCAGCAGCTCATCCCCCAACCTGTACTGGTGCATGGAATTATTCCTCCCCAGATGCAAGACTCTACACTTGCTTTTGTTAAACCTCATCCGGTTTTTTTCTGCCCAGCTCTCCAGCCTGTCCAGGTCTCGCTGAATGGCAACACAGCCTTCAGGCGTGTCAGCCAATCCTCCCAACTTCGTATCATCAGCAAACTTGCTGAGGGTGGCCATTATCCCCTCATCAAGGTCATTGATGAAGATGTTGAACAAGACCGGACCCAGCACCGACCCCTGAGGAACACCGCTGCTCACAGGCCTCCAACCGGCCTCTGCACCACCAACGACCCTCTGTGCTCTGCCAGTCAGCCAGTTCTCAACCCACCTCACTGTCCACTCATCTATCCCACATTTCCTCAGCTTTGTTATAAGGATGTCGTGGGGGACAGTATCAAATGCCTAGCTGAAATCAAGGTAGACTACATCCAAGTCTCTCCCCCCATCCACCCAGCCAGAGACAACAACATAGAAGGCTACCAGGTTGGTCAAGCACGACCTCCCCCTTGTGAACCCATGCTGACTACTCCTGATAACCTCCTCTTCTTCCAGTTGTCTGGAGATGACATCCAATACAAGCTGTTCCATCACCTTTCCAGGGACAGAGGTAAGGCTGACTGGCCTATAATTGCGTGGGTCTTCCTTCTTGCCTATTTTGAAGACCGGGGTGACGTTGGCTATCTTCCAGTCTTCAGGCACCTCCCCCGTCCTCCAAGACTTCTCAAAGATGACAGAAAGCAGTTCAGCAATCACCTCTGCCAGCTCCCTCAGCACCCGTGGGTGCATCCCATCGGGTCCCATGGATTTGTGAACATTGGTGTTGCCTAGGCGCTCCTGGACCACCTCTTCCCTGACAGAAGGGAGGTCTTCCATTCCCCAGATCCTCTCACTAACCTCCAGGGTCTCAGATTCCCAAGGGGGAGCTTTTTCACTGAAAACAGAAGCAAAGAAGGCATTCAGTATCTCCGCCTTCTCAGCATCCCCCGTTACCAGAACACCCCCGTCACTTAGCAGGGGAGCCACATTCTCCCTAGTCTTCCTTTTACTGTTAATGTACTTGAAAAAACCTTTTTTATTATCCTTTATCCCCTTTGCCAGATTTAATTCCAGGCAGGCTTTAGCCTTCCTTGTCGCATCCCTGCAGACCCTGACAACACTCCTGTATTCTTCCCAAGTAGTCAGACCCTTTTTCCACATTTCATGGGCCTTCTTCTTTCCTTTGAGTTTGTGCATGAGCTCCTTGCTCATCCACACAGGTCTCCTGCCACCCTTTCCCGATTTCTTCCTCACAGGGACGCACTGATCTTGAGCTTGGAAGAAGAGCTGCTTAAATGCCGACCAGCTCTCACAGGCCCCCTTGCCTTCGAACACCCTAGCCCATGAGACAGCTCCAAGTAGGCCCCGGAAGAGATCGAAGTTGGCTCGCCTAAAGTCCAGGATAGCAATCCTACTTTTTGCTTTACTTCTTCCACTCAGGATCTTGAACTCCTCCATCTCGTGGTCACTACAACCCAAGCTGCCCCCGACCTTTACTTCCCTGGCAAGCCCTTCTCTATTAGTGAGAATAAGGTCCAGCAGTACCCCTTGCCTTGTTGATTCCTCAACCACCTGCATCAGGAAGTTGTCTTCAACACAGTGCAGGAACCGTCTGGACCGCGCATGCCTGGCCACATTGCTTTTCCAGCAAATATCTGGATAATTGAAGTCCCCCATAAGCACCAGCGCCTGGGATCGTGACGCTGCTTCCAATTGTTTGTGGAAGGCCTCATCAACCTCCTCCTCCTGATCAGGGGGCCTGTAGCACACACCCACAACGGTGTCAGCCATACCAGCCCGCCCCTTGATTCTTACCCACAAGCTCTCCACTGCTACACCACTCTCCCCCAGGTGGAGTTCAATACATTCAAGCTGCTCTCTTACATAAAGAGCAACTCCACCACCCCGCCTCACCAGCCGATCTTTCCTAAAAAGCACACAGCCCTCCATGACAACATTCCAGTCATGCGAGCTGTCCCACCACGTCTCTGTGATCGCAGTGTGATCATAGCCATGTGACCGCACGCAGATCTCCAACTCTTCCTGCTTATTTCCCATACTGCGCGCATTAGTGTATAGACACTTCAGGGAGGCAGCATTCCCCTGCCACACTCCATCCCTTTGAACTCCACCCTCGTCACCCATCAAGTTCACTTTTGAACCTTGAACTACCTGAACCTCAGCAGCCCTCATTTTTTCCCTTTCCCTCTTCTTACCTAGTTTAAAGACCTTTCAATGAGGCCTGCCAGCTCCTGGGCTAGGATCCTTTTACCCCTTGTAGACAGTTGAGCTCCATCTGCAGCCGTCATGCCAGGAGCTGAGTAAGTTGCCCCATGGTCAAAAAAACCAAAGTTCTTCTGCCTGCACCATCCTCTAAGCCATTTATTGATGAGGAGGGCTTTTTTTGATCCTCTCAGAGTCCTTCCCGGCCACTGAAGGGATAGAAGAGAAGACCACTTGCATTCCTGCACCATCCAGTACCCTCCCCAGACCCTTGAAGTCATTTTTGATTGCCCTTAGGCTTCTCTTGGCAGTATCATCACTGCCAACCTGAACTACCAATAAGGGGTAGTAGTCAGACGGGCAAATAAGCCCAGGCAGCTTTCTAGAGCTTTTCTAGTTCACATCTGATATGGTGCGTTCCATTAGCTTGCACAGGTAAGCAAGGGGTGAAGGCAGGGCCAGAGTGCAGTGAGAGGCAGGCAGGGCCAACCATCATGGCTGCAGAGAGTGACAAAGCCAATGACACATGGAAAGAAGGCGTTTTTCCCCAGTGAAAAAGGACAAAGGATGAGAAAACAAACACAGATTGTTTCCCAGCAAAAAAAGCTCGATGGCGGGTTGTGTAACTGCCGGTGGTTGCATAAGCACAAGTTTGGTTTCTGGAAGATGATAAGGGGAAGTAATTGGTAAAAGACGTTTAAAGCTGGGGACAAAAGGGCTGTAAGCACTGATGGAGTGAGCAGGTGTGAGGTGTGAAGGCACTGCTAAGATTTCCCTGTTGACCCACCCAGGCAACAGTACCCATCCATTTAGCTGAGTGTTGCATAGCCCTAATTGCATATCCCCTGTTTCTCAACCTATTATTTACACAACCCCTGGAAGTGCAAGTGCAGTAAAACGCCCTGAATGCAAGGAAAAGCACACCTTGGCAACGTGTGCAGATGCACAGCCTTGAGCACGACCCATGGATACTCCCAGTAAATACCCAAACCCCGGCACCACAGAAGACCCCAGAGAGCAGCAGACTGCTTTAAAAATACTTTATTCTTTAGAAAATACAGCATTCAGTACAGTGTGCTCCGCTCCCCCCAGGCTTCACACCCCCCTCACTGGGGCACCCCAACACGGTCAAGGCAACATCGGCACATTCACCGGTGAGCGGGGAAGGGCACGGGAGCAGCCCTGGTGTTACCACTGCCCAGGGGTGTGGGGGAAGCAGGCCTCGCTGGTAGCCAGCAGCAAGGTGCTCTCCTCCCCAAATCCTCTAAGAAAAGCCAAATCCACAATGCCAAACTCAAGCCCTGGGGACAGCCCTTGGTGACCAGCGATGTCCTCGATGCTGTGAGCACACTGGAGCCCCGGCTGGCCCTCCCTGGGGGGCAGCCTCCCTTGTGCCAGGATTTGGGGCAGCCCACGTGGGTGGGAGCTGGGTGGCCTTTCACAGGGGCTCGGGGCTTTATCCCATTTCCCACACCCTTTTCCTTGCAAAGGGCAATAATGTCCAGCCACCCCCTTCCTCACCTGGGTGCCAGCCTGGACCAGAGGTTCGTCCCACAGATGACAACACCCAGAATTAATGGAGCAGTCAGGCCAGCCCCCGCCTTGCAATCACACTACAAACACTGAGGCACCCCTATGCTGATAAAAGCACAGGGATGGGGATGAAGGAAATGGGGAAGGATGAAGTACGAGGACAGACAGCACAGGGGACAGGGGTGGCATGGAATGGGTTCTGGCTCCTGTCCCAAACCCAGCCGCAGGGCTGCAAAGCCTCCCTCCGAGGGAAAAGGCTGTCCTTGGTGGATCAGAAAGAGGATCCAAACATTGCCAACAGGCACGGTAACCTTTCTCCAAAGCCAGGTGGAGCTCAGACCTTGCCCTGCGCCAAGACTGGACAAAAACAGAGCTGGGTGCTGCCCTTCCTCTACCCCTACCCATAAGAAACTGGCTTCAAAGTCCATTGAGCCACATCCCTGTGCCCCAGCTCAGACCCAAGGGGCTTCACAGCCAGACCAGCCCAGGAGGCACAGGGACCTAGAGCTGGGTGGGAGCAGCACGGAGTGGCTGTATGGGAAGCCACCAGCAGTGTCAGGTACTGGGCAGCTGTTGCTTGCATGTCCAGGGCCCTGGCCATGAGGATGCTCTGTATGACAGCTGGGAGTGAGAAGGGAAGGGAGAAGCATCTGTACTCCCCAAAAGGCAAATCCAGATAGAACAAGGGGTTGTCTCTCACCAGGGACAAATGCTCCTGCCAGGTGCTGGGGCTGCAACAGCGAAGTCCCCCCTGCAGGGATGGGTCTGGGCTGCAGCCTGGAAAGGCTCGGGCAGCCATAGGACTTACACAGCGGGGCTCTGCTGAGTAAAGGCTGTAGGAAGAGGGAGGAGGGAAAGAAGCATTTAATGTTATCTGCTATTAAACCAACACCAGGTATCATCTCCTTCCTTTGCATAGAGCAGCTCGTAGGTGAGCGAATCCTTCCCTCAGCACAGGTAAACCAAGGGAAAGCTCTGGTCCCAGCTGGGACCAGAGTAGGCTGGAGACATGGTCCTGCTGCTCCCGTGCTTCCCCAGTTGTCCCCAGGCTTGCACAAGGACATGGAGAATGAAACACAAACACCTACAGCCTGTCCCCATCCCACTGCTCTGCGTTGGGAGAAACAACCCGTCCTGATGCTCAAAAAGGAATGAAAAAGGGAAAAGAAGGGAAGGGGAAGGCTGAGATGGAGGGAAAGATCCCCAGGTCAGCAGAAAGGCCTGGAACGGAGGGGTGGAAGATGGGAAAAGTCAGGGGGATGCTGTCCATTCACCACCCGTCCCTGCCTCATCCAGATCTAACTGTCCTCGCCGTTCTCTCCTGGCCCTTTGATCAGCCTCTTCTGTCCCCGTTTCCCCACGGGCCCTTTGGGCTTGGCAAAGGCCTGCTTGAAGGCGTGCTGTTTCGGGTGCACCTCATCATACAGGAACTCTGCCGTCAGCTCAGCGCCGTCGTCGATCTCAATCTGCACAGGGAAACGGGGTTTGTTACCATCAGAAAGGTCAACACCATGGAATGGAGATACAGGAGGTGTAAGGACAAAGGGACTACACAAATGGAAATGGTGTTACAATGAGAAAGAAAAGGTGCTCACCTGTCTCCAAAGATCTGGGCTTGCAGGGAAAACTCCATAAGAGAAGGATCTCCAACCAAAGATCCTTCCCCAGTGGCAGTCAGCCCTTCAATGAGCTCTAATGAGCTCATATGAGCTACAGAGTGCCATCACCAAGCCACGTCCCTTACTGTCACATCCACACATCTTGTAAATTCCTCCAGGGCTGGGGCAGCCCATCTCAATGCCTGACTGTCTTCACACCCCAAAATGCTGCTCTCTCAGGGTAACCCCGCACTCCTCCCCAAGGACACTGATAGGTTTGGACCAAGGACCCACAGGGTAGAAGCAAAGGGGCCTCCATACGCCCACCGTGTGAAGTACTGTTGTCAAATGACTCAAAGATTTAGGTCATTTCAATCCCAAAGCTCTCAACCAGGGAAATCCATCCCCTCCTACCGGATAGAAGTCTTCACCGAAACCACAGATGCTGGGGATACCCGTTAGGGCTGGGGCAGAGATGTCAGTGCAAGACCATTCCCCTTTTCTCCAGGCCGCTGTTAAACAACCTCAGGGATGCCTGAGGCTTCCCTGAATTCTGAGACCTCACCCCAGTCAAAACCATGTCGCATCCAGGAGGTAGGGACTCACCTTCTTTGCTATCTCCAGACAGAACTCCTGCTCCACAGTGTCGAGCAACCGGCTCTTGCAGCTGGAGTAGAGCATGCGCTCCTTGATGCTGCATTTGTACCCAGGCATGGAGTAGATGAACACTGCGAGAGAGGAACGAGGCTCAGTGCTGCCCACGTGCAACGATGGGGAGCAGCCAGATCCTGGCTTTCTGGGGCTGTTCCAGGCTGAAGAGCCCTGACAAGCTCAGGTGCAGAGGCCAAGCTCTTCCACTGCCATACTCTGCAACTCAGCAGCCCCTTGCATAAATCCTCCCCAGTTCTCAATACTCAAGACCCGAATTGTGCATTCCCCACATTCTCTGGGCCCCGAAGGCTTGCTGCCACTCCCTTGGGGGGAGCACGGCAAGGGAGAATCCGCTCAGATCCCCCACACCACCTGCACCATTGCTAAGGGCAGAGCCAGGGGCTCTGAGCAATCACTGCTCACCAACAGACTCCAGGTAGTCGCCCTCATGTGAATGCTTGTACAGGAAGAAGTGGTAGCGAGCAGAGTCCTGTGGGATCCTCTTGGGCAGGTCAGTGATCTCTGTGGGGCTCGTGTGCACCAGGTCGATGGTCTCCCGCTCCAGATCCAGCTTCTGGTTGAAGAAAGGGACAAAAGAGACCAAAGTGCCACAGCAAGGGGTGCTTGGAGGTGCAGGGGGAGCCGTGCCAGGGACTCACCAGCTGGATGTAATTGATTTTCTTCTGCTTCAGTGCCTGGATAGCCTGCTGTGCATCCAGCTGCAGGGGAAAGGCCAGGCCCTGCAGGGTCTGGTGCTTGCTCTCCACACTGATCTCTGTCTTCACCTGCAAACAGGAATAGCACTGAGTGTCAGGGTGGTCATGGACCAGGTACCATCTCCAGCTGCCCCAGGGTGAATGTGCATCCTCATGCTTGCATTTGCCAAGGCACAGAGCAGCAGCTGGGGGCATCCATGCCCTCCTGGGGCCCGGAGGCCTGTCCAGCCCTAACCCAGGAACTTGTGGGTTTGATGGGTGAGTGCAGGAGTGCTGGCAAAGCTCTCAGGCAGAGGCAATGCTTGAGACACAGCTCACTGGAAACACAGCATTAACATTTAGATGTCACCAGCCTCGGGATTGTGGTGCTTCCCAGCAAACAGGAATCACCCAGCAGAATCTGTCCCTGCTCGTGCATCCCCCAGACATGCTCTCCTCCTTTGCACAAATGCTCCCAGAAAACAACCTCGGCACCACTGACGCTTCTCATGGGGCTGCATTGGCACAGCCTGCCCAGAGCTGTGGGTGCCATCCCTGGAGGTGCCCCAGGCCACGGAGAGGCCCTGGGCAGCCTGAGCTGAGGTGCAGCCAGCCCATGGCAGGGATGAGGCTGGGGTCTGTGAGGCCTCTTCCAACCCAATCATGCTGTGATTCTACGATTCTCAGCATAAGGCTGTTTGCAGAGAACTCCTAGCTGGGGACAGGGCAGGGTGCCACAACCAACACTGCCGCCTCTTCACCTCATCCTCCCACACTGCAATGTGCAGGGAGCCTTGAAATCCCAGCATCCAGCTGCGGGGGTCTCGGGTCACTTACAGGTGCCCACTGCCCACACTGGAGCGAGGATTCAGAGACCCGCAGCTCAGACAAGCCCCCATTTTCACACCAAACCCTCAAAAGCAGAGGCTTTTGCACGGCGGAGCAAACAAATCCCCTCTCCACGAGACCAAAGCCACTGCAAAGAGGAAGAAAGACGGACAGGCCGCGTCACATCAGGCACCTCCACCCCGAACAGGGCTGTGCTGTGACCCTGCAGGAGGGAAGGGAGAGCGGGACGCGCAGCGGCACAGCATACCTCCTCGGGGCTGGGGTACTCTACCAGCGATGGGCAGCAGCAACAGCCCCCCACCATCTGCCATAGAATACAGGGAGACGGAGTCACGCCGCTGGCGGAGGAGCTGCCCCTGAGCCCGCCCCACCTGCCCCAGGCACACAGCAGCGCCAACCCGCACACTGCACACCAAGTGCTGCTTCCGTTTGGGATCGGTTTAGGAGGTTTGGTGCAAAGATGAGAAAAGCCCCTCCTCCCCACCTCCCCCCTTTTTTTTTTCCCCCCCTATAATGATAATGGAGGAAAATCACACACACGAGCAGCCCATCCATCGCCAACTTGAAGTAGAAAAAACCCCAGGAGTGATCTAATCCCCGTCTCAAGTCCAACACAGACTTCAGACACCAGCTCCCTGGGGGTTTGTTTAGTGAGCCCAGCGTGGGGTGAGCTCAGCTCCCCTGGGCAGAGCAGGGGGCAAAGGGAGCAGAGCATGCAGCACACGGCCTGTGGAGCAGCCTACCATCTCCGTGCTTGAGTCTTGTGAGCAGGAATCCTGCGGGTGTGGGAAAGGAGACACTGTCAACGGCACCCACACAGGGATGGATGGGTCTAGGAACAAGGAGGGGGTGGTACCAACATGCTGGGAGGGTGCAGGCCTACCATGTCTCTGCTGGAGGCCAGGGAAAGCAGGTCCTGCGTGCAGGCATGGAGAGTGACAAAATGACATGGGAAATGTCAGTGCTGGGGAGGGACAGCCCTGAGCACGGCTGTGGGACTGGTTGTTGGGACAGCCCAGGAGCTCCAGGGGCATTACCAGCCCTGCTCTGCCTCCTGCTGACTGCCCAACCTGTGTTGGGATGGAGGAGTTACAGCAACAGGGCTGGGGGTAATTCCTCCACAAAGGGGAAGCCCCTAAAAGAGGGATCCCCCTAAAGGTTTGGGGAAAAAGTGCCCAAGCTACTTTCCAAGCTCAGAGTATAGGAAGATGAAGAGCTCTGCATTCCCACAGTCAAAGACAGGGCAAGCACACACAGATGCTGATGGCACTCAGGTTTGCCTTCTCCTCCCTTGCAGAGACGTGGCACATGGGATTTACCACTGCCAACACCAGACCCCCATGTTTCTCCCCTGCAAATGCCCTGAGAACTAAAGGATGCTGGGGCGATGAGCAAAGAGCTTTCAATGCTGGACGAAGCAGGATGGAGTCGGAAAGCTCCCCAGATCAGAGGTCATCTCAGCACTGCTACCCTCTGCAACACACCTCCCCGTGGCGTTTTCTACTCCTTCTCTTTTTAAACCCACAAGCATTGGGCTCATTACCAGGCTCTGCACAGGGATGGCCAAGCTGCATCCCACAGCTCTTGGCTTGGGCCTGCCCACTGGCAGCACTTGGGCTGCAGGGTGTTTTACCTCCTTTTCTTTACTTTTTTCTGCTTTCCCCTCCCTACTGAGAGTTGGGTGCTGACCAGAGCTCCTAATTTGCCTTTATTTCCCACTCCACCCCACAGATAAACCTGGTTTCCCTCTGCATTTCTGAGCCTGCAATGCCTCCCAGCGCTTCCAGAAAGACTCTCCATTTGGGCAGGGACTTGTTATAACAGCTCAATCTCCATTTAAAAACCACTGTTTGAGCCCACAGGTCACAGCCTCCAGCACAGCAGTGATGCATTTTCTGCCTTCAGCTTTGGAGAACTCCCTCACACTTCCCCCAGCCTCCAGCAGGATGGCTCAGCACATCCCCTCTTTCCATGCCAGGTGCAGCCTGGCTCAACTCCTCCCTGTCCCAGTGCAGAAGGCAGGGCTGCACAGCTGCCACATCCACCCTCCTGCTTTGCTGCTGCCTTTTGCTTCCCACTGGTGCCTGCTGCCAACCCAGGAATACCAGCACTTCCACAGTGAGAAATGCCACACTCACAAAGGTTAGAGACCGCGCTAAGAGATGCACCACCAGCAGCAATCCCAGGCAAGTGGCAACGACATGCACTGCAAGGCACTTGGTAGCTTTTAAAGAAACAGTGTCCCTTGTGTCACTTCCAAAATCCTGGTGGATTCACAGAGCTCAGGGTCCCAACAAAGAGACAGCCAAAGAGCAGAGCTGCTGAGGTCTGAGCTCGCTGCAGGGCTGCCCAGCAGGTCACAGCCACTCCTCAGTGTCTGTTTTGTCCCACGTGAAGACACTGCCAATGCTTCAGCTACAAAGGACACGGAGCTCTCTGCCCCCAGCTGTGGTGATGGGGACAGAGGGGGAAGCGCCAGCATTTTGCACAGCCAACACAAGCCAGCAGCACGGCACCAGCACCGCAAACACAACTGCTGCAGCCTCCTTCCCTTGTGCTGCAGCACACCTGGTGTTCTGCAAGGAGACAGGTTACTGTCACTCTGCTTCTGCAGCAATGTGCATGTCCAGGCAAGGACGGAGGCACTGCTATGCAGGGTGCTGAAAGCTGCTCCCGTAGCCCCTCTCTGCTTTGCACTGCTCCAGAAACTTGCTATAAAGTCAGCACCGACAGAGACCCTGCAGCAGCCCAAGCATCCAGGTGCTTCACACTAAATTCAGAGGCAAAATAGTGATTTTTCTCTCTTTCTAGATGAGAAGGTCCACTTGCTGTGGTTCAGGCTTACACAGGGGACAGCGTACCTTTAAAATGAAACCCAACCACACCAAACCTGGGCAGCTCACTCGCTCGGGAGCCACCTCTTGCAGTCAGGAGGGTGGGGAGCAGCGGATCATTGGGAACACAAGCAAAACGAGCAACACTTACCTGGGCCACTTCACCCTGCAAGACACAGCCAAGAAAAAGCACTTAATCCTACAACACCAACCAGCCAGGGCGATGGCCTGGGTGGGACCATAAAAGCCCAAAGTTACTGCAAGATAAGCAGCACAGCCCAGAGCCTTGTCTCAAAGCCCTGTTAGCTCTCTCTTCTCCAAGGTGTCATCTTGCATTCTCCAGCCTAAATCCTGCCCATACCCTCTGGGTGGGAGCTGAGATGACTATACCATGCCCTACTAGAAGATCACATTTGGTGGCATGCCCCAGATCCATTCATCATATCTGTCCAGCACCACCCAGTGGTTGTCACCACATGCTCAGCAGTGATGCTGCAGAACAAGCAATGACCTCCATAGTTCTCCAGGTCTACAGGGAAAGAAAGATCCAGGCAGCGCTGAGAAATGTGGTTCTAGCCCCTTGTTGTGAAAAAAGGCCAGGTGCTGGTTGGTCTCTTCCCAGTTTGCAAGAAAAAGCAGAGGAAGAGAGGACCAACAACATTAATGCACTGGGTTGGCACTGCCCCCAGACCTGCTCCTGCCCTGTCTTTGCCACTAACTGGACCAGACTGCTTGGCTTAATATCTCCCAGGCTCCACATCCATCTCTAAGCCCCACAGACCCCATCACAGGAGGAAGAGAGAGGGATGCTACTTCTGTGACGTCCCAGTGAAATCCCCCTCCTCCCAAACACAGCTTCCAGGCAGTCCTCTCACCCCATAGGATCCTCTTCACAGCCTCAAGGTTTCCACAGCATCACAGAGGTTGGCACGAGTGTCTCATGCTGCTGCAGGACCTGTGTTGTGCTGCAGCCTTGCCTGGCCTCATCCAGCCATTTTTGTACTTCCTTCCAGCACTAAGCCCCAGACATTCAGGCTAAGACCTCTCCCCTTTAGCACAGCACCCCTCACAGCCACAGATGAACCTGAGAAAGTACACTGTGACAGCCAAAACGTGAGCTGGAATCCTTCCTGTTTTCCCCTCAAATTCAACTCCAGCTCTGAGTTCCATCCTGATATCTAAAGATTTGACACCGCTGCCTGCCTTTAGGCTCCACCTGCCTGCTAATTGCTAATTACAGCATGCAAAGTAAGATATCCAAGCTCATGTCCTAGCGAAGAAAAGAGTCTGTAAAATTCATCATCAGTTTGACCATGAGGTCATACAAATGCTTGATCCACCTCAGCAGGTTCTGGAGCGGGTTAAAAAGCACACGTACAAAGGAGCTTTGTAAGAGTGAGCTACCTCTGCACCAAAGGCTGAGCCCCAAACCTCCCCGGGGCTGGGTGCCATGGGATGCCCACCTCATTGATGCGGATCTGCTGGAGCTCCTGCTCAGCTGCAGTCAGCGGGGCGGGCGCAGAGCAGGACGATACGTGCTTCTGGTACCCACTGAGGGACACATCCTCCTGCAGACAGAGGGACAAGAAGGGAAACGTTAGGGAGTTATTATCACCACGGAGCAGACAGGACAGGGCTATGACCCCAGCCTGGATCTGAGATCCCAAGCTCTGGCTCTCTCCCTGCCCACACGAATGACCAGTGTGGGCTGTGCTCTCGGACACCTCCATGCAAACACCACACTTGATTTGAGCCCTGCCCATCCAGGCCATCCCACCAGCCATGCAGCAGTGCGGTCCCTGGTTGAGGAGCAAAGCTTGAGACCACAACAGCCAGAAGAAAAGGAGACCACAGCCCGATTGCAGCCATGAAGCAGGATGCCAGCAGCTGGAATCTTGGGTAGGCTCCCAGAGCTCAGCTTTTAACTCAAAAGATTGAACAGTGAACCACAACTGTACCTTAACTGTTCCAAACATCTCATCCTTTATATGTCCCCCTCCAAATTCTTTCTTCACCGTTGCTCTGGTTGCAGCATACAGCATCTTCAGCCTGACCTGCGTGAGGAGGGATACAGCAGACACGGTCAGGGAAGGAAGCAGGGGACCTGTCACCTCCATCCCACTGGCACCTGGTGGTCACTGCCACCTCCTGACCCAAAGCTCTGCCTTCCCAAAGCTCAGCCTCCCACCCCTTCCATGTGCAGCAACAACCACAGCTGGTGCTGTCATTTGAGACTCATCCCTGGGAGCCAGCTTGCAGCCCAGGACCCTGCAGCACAACAAGGAATAATGTCACCTTCATGTGCTTGCTTAACCACGGGATGCTCTGATTACACAAACACAAAGAAACACAAAAACAAATACACACAAAAACAAATAAATCAAAACCGATACAGAGACTCCAGATTCTCATAGGGAGCAGAAAGCTCTCTGTAGCTATTGGCACTACAAGCTATAAAGTAAGTACCTGGAAACAACCACCTGGTTTTTACCTCAGTCCTGTGTCTCACCCCAGCAGCTCTAGCTCCAGGGGATTGCTCTGGGCACAGTGTGGGCACTTATCAGCTCTATTTCCACAGCTATGCATGGAGGCACGTGCAGCCTTAAGGAGCTCTGGCCTCAAACCACAGTTCACTGGTTTATTGTACAGACAGACAGCAGCTTCACAGGGAATCATGAAAAAAATCATGTTGCAAAAGAACAGTCCTGGTGGTTTGATGTTGTTGAGTCGCCATAAGGGACCACATCCTTCCAATGAAAATTCCCCACCAACAAAGCAAAACGTTGCTTCCATTCACCTTTTAGACTTCTCTTGCACTGTTCTCCTGCAAAACTCTGCTCAGGAAAGAACTTTTGCAAGCACTCCCCAGCCCGTCTTGACCGACACAGAGGACCAAGCCAACCCTCTGCCATCAAGGCTCACAGTCCCTGGGTTATGCTAAGGCCAAGGTCACAAGCCACAGGAACATCAACACCAGCCTACGAGCCAGCAGGTGTCGTTGCTGGCCTACAGTTACACATCCTGGAGCCACCGAAGGCAGATTTTTGGACACCTGCCCATCTTGCTCCCGCCCAAATGCCACAAGTTCCAGGACAGCAGAGCTCACCGGGGAGTTATCAGGGGACCAGGAGATGAAGAGCCACTCGTAGCCCTGGGCGTTCTGGCTGTCCAGGCGGTACAGCACATAGCATGGCTGCTGCTCATCCAGCAAGGGGAGCACAAAGGCATCATAGTCCATGTCCCAGCGCCGGGCCAGCTCCTTGTGCGCTCCCAAAACGAGCTGTTCTGGAAGGAGAAGAGAGAAAAGTGAAGGTTATGCAAAGGCAAGGCTCAGCTGCTCTTATCAGACTCCACGTAACCTCAGAGATGCAAAAACACTTGCTTGAGGGATAAGCAGGCAGGGGTCTGTGCTGTGTCCCCCTGCAGCAGGCCGTGCTGCCAGAGAGCCCTGGCTTCTGGAAAGGATTTATGCAGTTCACACATGTGGTGGCATCTCAAGTGTCCAGAGGGTATTTTTTCCCCTGCTACGCAAGCATCAATGGGGCTGGAAGCAGCAAGCAGCAAGCTGGGCAGTGTGGGGCTGGGATTTAAGTGCCAGTGTAGGCATGGTATGAACACAAAGAAAAATATCAGAGAAATGAAAGGTTTGCCATTCTCCAAAGCCTCTTCAAAGAGTTCTCAGGAAGCAAGGACAGAAGTTTTCTGTGTTGCTGAAGTGCAGCAATGAGGTTTTGCACTCGCTGTGGCTCTGCCCCTGGAGCGTGGGACACCCTACATCCCAAAGCTGCTTTTAGATCATGTTCCTCCACACGAGTTGCAGGGAAGAAAAGAGGCTTCAAAAGGCTGAAGGACTACTAGCAGCTCGCCTAGAGCTGCTCTGTCAGCTCTGCTCCAGACGGACACCATCCCCAACCTGTGCTTTCAGAAAAGCAGAGCTGAGAATACTTTCTCTCCAACAAAACCATCTGCTTGGAGAAAGAAAGGAAGAAGCAGCATATAAACCTCAATGTAGACTTAAACAATACAAAGCAGGCAGGCAGAAGGATTTGGCTTTTTGGAAAGTTCCAAAATCTAAGAGAGCCCAACAGATTTCACCTGGCCAAACACCCAGGCAGCCCCAAGGCCTTCCCACCTGCTGCATGTCCCAGCACCCCATGCACAGGGCAACCAATGCCAGGTAATTCATTGCAGGCGAAGCAGCACAAGCCAGCCCACAGCAGTGCCCTCAGCAGCCTGCAGCATCCAGGTGTTCCCTAGGCTGAAGAACTGCCTGTTCCAGAAATGCAACACCAGCATCAGCACTCTCTATAGGACCACCTCCAGCATCACCCTTTTCAGCCTTTGTTTGCTCTTCAGCTTGCTCTGCTTCCTCCCACAGAGTCTCTGCAGTTCAATTCAATTTCTTTAGGGCAAATTTTCCTCCCTAGCTCCGGCAGCAAAGCCAGAAACTGCACCATGGCTGGGGTTCCCAGAGCCCAGACCATGGAGGTGACAGCATGGTGGCAGGGCAGAATCCAAAGCACAAAGCACTGCCAAGCAAGGGGATGTGATTTCTACTGACAGTAACACGTCTCCATTGCTGCTATGGAGCAGCATCTAGAGCCAGCAGCCCTCACAGCCACACTGCAGCCTGGGCTTATCTGACTCATCCCTAACAGAAGGACGAGCTTTTTAAAGGCTAAAGATGACCAGGGAACAAAAATGGTTGTTGGTTGCTGAGCTCCAGGGTGGCTGAAGTCACTGCAGTCCCAGCTGTAGGACGGTGCCACACTGCTCTGTGAAAAACAAGTCATTCATATGCAATGGTACCAAGCCGAGCAGATGGAAAACCTACACCTCAGAGGTTCCTGCTGGGATGCTCAATCACTGCTTTGCTCCACTTGCTTATGAGATAAAAACTGAGGCCCAAAGGCACCTTTTGGTGGCCAAACGCAGCAGGGCAACACGCAGCCCCCTGTGCCCTAGCAGCAGGAAGGAGCAGGACCTGGGACTGGGGGCACTGGAGAGCTGGTCTGAAGTCAGCAGGATGCAAAGTCATTGCGTATCCCAGAGTGGCCCCAGCAGAGGCTGTGAGGCTGTTGTTGCCAAGAGTTGCTCAGCAGCTCACCTGAATTTTGGGCTTGGTTTTCACATGGACCCACAGCACTCTGCTCTTGGCTCCACGTGTCAAGAAGCCCCGCTTGGAATTTGTACATTTCCAGAAATGCAAGCCCTATTTTTCAGCATATTTGGCCAGCAAAGAGGAAAGAAAGGAAAAGAGGAGAACTGGGCTGACACAGCATAAATCAAAGCACTTAAAAATGGAGCTTACCTTCCTCGATGATCACCTTGATGAGCCGAACTGAACCATTTCGGGCTTTGGCAAAAAAGTCCCTTAATTCCGTGGTGGCTGAAAGAACCAGAAACATTGTGATCAGATCGAAGGGCCAAAGCAGGTGCTGCTCACTGACGGGCCGTGGGGATAAGTGATTTGGCAGGATATTAATTAAAAACCGTCCAGAAAAAAAAAGAGAAAGAATAACCGGTGCCAAAACGTTACAATAAAAATAATATGAAATCCAAACAGCTGGCCTCCTCGGGGGTAATAAAGTGCTGCGTCTCCCAGAGGCTTCAGAGTTAAATAGCAGCTGGGAGCACATGTGATCCAGATAACCTGATACTTGGCCTGGGTGAACATAATCACCCAAATTTAGCTGATGGCTTGGCTGGTTGCAGGCAGAGCTCAAGTGACAAGTTTATTAACTTTGCAGCGCAGTCAGGTTTGCATGCAGGGTGGCTGGGAGATGTTAGGAAAGGTGGGGATGCTGCTGAGCCCCAGTGCTGCAGGTCACTGAGCCCAAAGTGGAGACACAGGCGTGAAACTGAGCCCTCTGGATGGGAAAGAACAGCAGGCCATCAGCTACGGCTGCAGGCAGATACCCACATGACAGCTCAACAGCGAGCCCATTGGATGCTGCCATGCAGCCACTGGGGATCTGCAGGGTCAGAGCAGGTAAGAGTCACCCAGCACATAAGTGCACACCCTACGACAGACCCTTCCATGCTGCTGCATGTGTTCTGCTCCAGCCTTGCTGTGCAAGAAAGAAGAACCAAGGCAGGGTGCTTAGTGCAGGGCATCCCGCCTGGAAGATCCCATCCTGAGACTTTAAAGCTGCAGAGCATTCCAGCACTTATTAGAAATACAGAAACAAGTGCTGCAAAGATAAGCAACCCACTGCTCCCTGCAGCAGCCCCAAAGTGCAAACACAGCAGGGAACTGCTGCTTGAGGGGTCACAGTAGAGCAGCTGGGCAGACTGGTTCCTTCCTCCCATGTGATAAATCTGAGCTGCATGAGTTTCACCATCTCAAGAGCTGTCCTGAGCAAAGGTCTAGAAGTTCTCCCTTTCCTTGATGCCTTCTCAATCAGAGCATAGCTCAGGGCTGGAAGGGACCGTGAAGCCCCTCAGCCTCAAGCCCTGCCATGGGCTGCTTGCCCCCCACCAGATCAAGCTGCCCAGGGCCCACCAGCCTGGGGCATCTTCTGCAGAGAGAAAAGGCACAGATGAGAAGCAGCCCTCAGGCTCAGAGCCAAACCCGAGCACGACATGGGAGTAGGACCATCCTCCCAAACCCATCCCATGGCCCCCGGCAGCATGGAGGCACACAGCTTTCCAGCAGCACTCAGCCTGCTGCCGGGTATTTTTAGCCCTTCCCCTGCTGACAGGCTGCTTCCTCCAAGCAGCTGCTGTGGTTGCTGAAGATACGAGAGGTTTCTCCCAGGGCGGAAGAGGAGGAGAAAAAGAGATGTTTGTACACCTAGGAAACCTAAACGCGAGAGCCAAAGGGTCCTGATGAGCGTTACGCTTTGCCATCGTGCTGCCCAAACAGGAGGGAGGGGGATAGCAGCTTGGATATTCCTAGCTTCAAGCTAAAATATTTAGGAAAAAAACACCAAAAATTAAAAATAATAATCATCATCATCATCACTGATGTGTCTGTGCCATTCCTTTCTGCTTCCTCCAGCACAGAGCCAAGGGAGAGGAACATGCTAGCCGTGAAGGCTTTCAGCATGAGCTCAGCAACTGCTTCATTACAGCATGATTACTGCTTAATTGGCATAGCAGACCTGACGAGACAGTCTGCGTGCCTGAAATATTAACAGAGAGCCCCCAGCCTGTTCCAAAGGAAAAGCAGAGGGATGGAGGAGGGAGCAGCACCGAGGCATGGGATGACACAGGGGTGTCCCCAGGATGTGATCCTGAGGCTGAGGGCCCTGCATGGAACAAAAACCCAGAGCAGCTGCACAGCAGTGGGAGCTGCAGAGGGAGGGCCCAGAGCTCAAGCAAAGTCCTCAGTGCTGGCAGGTCCTGGAGGCAGCAGGGCACCATGCTGCACTGTGGTTGCTGGAGGTAGGTGGCAGCCGAGGCAAAGTGGCAGAGCCAAGGGAAGGCAGCTCAGGTGCATTTTGGTGGGTCGGTGCCCACAGCAGGAGGTCCCCAGACCCGATGTGGGTCCAGCTTTAAGTCCACATCTCCACGGTCAGATCTGGCCACCGCACCAACGCGTCCTGCAGTCAGGAATAGAGGAGAGGCAAAGTGCGTGCTGGAGGACAAGGAGAGCTCCCTGTTCTCTCAGCAGGTTGGAGGAACAGGCTGGAAAAAGAAGAAAAAAAAAAAAAAGAAATAGGATGAAATTCACTAGGAAGCGAAACACCACAGAGGGAGAGAGCAGCGTGCATTGCCAGCAACTCTGGAGAGAGAGAGGGTCACACTGGGGGCAAGCCTATGCTGGTTAGTGGCTTCACGGCATTGCAAAGTCAGTTGTGAAGGCAGGAGCAGGAGCACAGCTTGCAGCAAGGTTACATGGTGCTGACACAGCCTCAGGATTGGCGTCGTGCAAGGAGAATGGCACAGGCCATGCGAGACTGAGGGAGCTGGGGCTGCGTCCAGAGAGGGAGAGCAGCCCTCACCTGCTGGGCCTTCCCACTCATCCCCAGCCTGCTGACAGCTCCCGGATCAATAATACATGTCCCCTGAAACAGATGCCTCTCTCGGCGTGCTGCGTCCCCTCGGCCTCCCGGCACGAAACCTGAACCCTCAGCCATCAATCTTTCATCCTCTGGCCACTATCCTCAAGCTGAGGCAACTGCACACTGCCAATCCCTCCTGCAGCTTGGCTGGCTGCTTTGGGCACTGAGAAGATTGCATTTCTCACCACGGCCTTGCAGGCAGCCCTTTCTCTGGTGAAAAAGCTACAGACTGCATGAGAAAATACAATGGAAGGGAAAAAGGAACAACTGAGCAAGAGAGGAGACAGCCAAAGCATCTTCCAGTTCTCCACGATCACAGAATGGCCTGTGTTGACAAGGAGCACAGTGCTCATCCATTTCCCAACCCCCTGCTGTGTGCAGGTCACCAACCAGCAGACCAGGCTGCCCAGAGCCACATCCAGCCTGGCCTTGAATGCCTGCAGGGATGGGGCATCCACAGCCTCCTTGGCAACCTGTTCCAGTGCCTCACCGCCCTCTGGGTGAAAAACTTCCTCCTCATATCCAACCTAAACCTCCCCTGTCTCAGTTTAAAACTGAGTCCTATTTAGTGATAGCTCCTTGTCCTGTCACCATCCACCCTCGCAAACAGCCGTTTCCCCTCCTGTTTATACGCTCCCTCCAAATATTGGAAGGCCACAATGAGGTCTCCCCAGAGCCTTCTCTTTCTCCAAGCTAAATAAACCCAGTTCCCTCAACCTTTTGATGCTGGGTTCTGTTCTGCAGAAGGGTTTCACTGAATCTTGGCCACACTGCATATCCTGCCTGGGTATCTCCAGCCATTCATCCCATGAGCCATTCGCCTCCATATCCCTACCTGGAAGCCACCTTCCCCCCACCCTGGCACCTCCCAGATCCTCATCAGAATCACTCTCACTCTGGGTATCAGACCAGCAGTGGTCTCATTGCATTTAGAGGCTCCTGACATGCACTTTCCAAGGGACTTCCTCTTCCCCACTACTTTAAGAGGCATTTATTATTTGCACATCCTCAAAATTACAGCTCAAGCGCAACTTCTGCAGGGGTTAGAGCCTGCCTCTGTGCATTCTGAGTCATGGGGGTGTTTGCTTTGTGTTTTGCATAAGCCCAGGGCATTTCTGCTCTTTGCTGCAAAGCAAAACCAGGAACCAGAGCACTGGTGCCCAGCCCGGAAGAAGCAGTCATTACCCACAGATGGGGATCAGCTCCTCAAAGGCAGCCCTGCAGCAGCTCACTGCACAGGCCCCATGAGCAGGGAGGTTTTCGTTTCCCTTTTCTTATCTCAGCAGAAACCCCATCACCGCCATTCCTCTCTGTTGCCCGCAGAGCGCACCTACAGCCAAGGAATCACAGAATCATTATGGTTGGCAAAGACCTCTAAGATCCCCAGGTCCCACCGTCCACCCCCCACCTGCCCACGTCCCTCACTGCCACATCCCCACCGTTCTGGGACGCCTCCATGGACGCTGACTCCCCCAGCTCCCCATGCAGCTGTGCCAGTGCCCAACCGCTCTTTGGGACAAGTGCTGGATAGGGACAGTTTCCTTCTGGAGCTTCCTTCTCATCGAAGAGTCAGCCTGGGAGCACAGCCAGCTGCTCCCACTGGGATGGGCAAGGAGCAGCTCAGCAGCCACAACACTGCTATCCCCCCACTTTCTGCTCCTTCTTCACCTCCCACTTCATTCTTGCTCACACAAGCCACTTTCTAGATGGAAAAAACCCTTCAAGACACGTTTTCACCCCAACATTTCTGCCATCCACACGAGCACCACCATCACCTCCCTCTCCCTGGGACCCTTCATCTTCTCTCCCAAAGTCAGCTCACACAGAATGATGCTCCTCCCCCCCTGCCCAGCACACGCCTGCTTCCTGCTGTGCAGGGAAAGGAGGTCACCCGACTTTCTGAGGCACTCACACTCAGCCTTCCCTTCACTGCTTATATCAAATTCTCCCTTCCAAGCTATCACCGCGAGCCAGGCTCACAGACGAGGCTGGGTGGCTTACCCTCAACACATGAAGATGGAAGACATGGAAAATCCCTCCTGCTTGGCAAACAGCTCATGCACTCCCAGAGGGGGAGGAAGCAGCAGCAGCATTGCTGTGCTCATCTGAGAGAGAGTGAATCAGCTCGCTGACGGGGGAAGGAATGATGGTGACCACTGTGCCAGGGTGGGGGAGAATGAAGGACCCCCTGATGCACCCACCCAGCAGTTTCCAAGCAGTTTGGGAAGGGAATGAGATCGCCTTGCTGGGGCTGGCACAGGTCAGTGAACTGCAAGAGCAGCGGTGCAAGGCCAGCGCCTCTCTTCCACCTCTGTTTCAAGCACCAGGACACTGCAAACCCTACCAGGGCAGTGCATCCTGCCTGCACCGAGAGCTCAGAGTGCTGTGCCCACTGCTTCGGTTCTGGTTTTGTTGTTGTTGCAACCAGAGGAAAGCACAAAGAGGTCCTGAGCTTTAATGTAGCAGCCTAGGGCTTAGAGGCAATGAATGAGAACGCAAGGGCCGACGGCCACCAGCACTGCCAGGCCAAGCAGGAGCAGCATCTGAGCATCAAACCGCATCCCATGAGCACCCAACGGGAATGATGCTCCTGGCTGTCCTCGAGCAAAGGGAACGTCACCAGAGTGTGCTGCGAAGGAACAGTGGCCATAAATTCACCCTAAATTCGCCATGCTCCCAGAGAGGCATTGGCCACGAGGAAGGCACAGCGAGCTGGCACAGCCCGCCCAGCATAGCCCAGGGCCGGCATCTTTGCCACCTCTGCTCGCATATCAATTCGGTTCCATCAATTATGCAGTGCCTCCGGTCCTGCTTAACGCTGCCCAGGGAGGTGTCAGGTGGGAGCGGGGGGAAACGCCACGGAGACGCACACTGTCACCCCCCGAAACCTCGGAGCCGCCTCCGGGGATCCCCCCACATATCCTTCCCCCTAAACCGGCCTTCTTCCAACACGGAAATTCCAGAGACAGCACTGCTGGCGTTCTTTCTGCTTAAAACGCAGCCCTGCGGCGGGAGGCGGCCGGCAGCACGCACAGCGGTGGGCTCGCACCGCGCCGCTCGCACCCTTCTCCCCGTTGGGATTTTGGGCTCACGGCGGGGCTGTGCCGCTCCGCCCGCTGCTAGATCGCAGGGCAAGGGCCTCCGGCTGCGCAGACCCCACTCCATAACGGAGCAGCCGCGGTAGAAGACACCTTAGCGGTGCCGAGCCGCGTTCGGGCATCGCGCGGAGACAAAGGATGCGCGAAGCCCCGCAGCACCGCGCTCGGATCGGCCGCGCTGCCCCCGACCGCCACCCGCGGTGCCCACCCTGCGCATCCGGGAGCCGCGGCGGGGAACGAGCGGCGTGACCCGGCGGTTCGGCCCGGCCCACGCTTACCGTGGATGCCGGTCTGGTGCGTCATGGCTCCTCTCCGCTCCGCTCCGCCGCGTCCCGGGCAGGAAACGGCTCCGCCGCCCGCACCGACGCTTCCGGGAGCCGGCACCGGGCGGAGCCGCAGCCCGCACCGCCCCCGGGAGGAGCCGGACCTCGAGCCGCGCCCGGTCCGTGCGGGGGGAGCCCGCGGGATTCCATGTCCGTCGAGTGGTTGCGGCGGCTGCGTCGGGGCGGCCCCACGGAACGGCCCGGAGGTGCTCAGGAATCGGCACCGCGCTCCCCCCAGCCCGCCCCGCCGCAGTACCGCCGGCCCAAGTTCCTCCGAGACGAAGAGGAGAATCCGAGGGACGTCAGGACCGTGCGGGGCACCGGGCCGGAGCGGCCGCTGCCTTGGGGTTCGGGCTATGCCGAGTGAGTGCGGCCGTTGGGGGTTACGGGGCTGGGGGCTGCGTGGGGTTACGGGGCACGAAGTGGGTGCTGGGGGGCTGCGGGCGCGGCGAGGAGCCCCCGGAGCGTTGGGCAGGGCTGAACGCGGTGATCCCCTGCCCCGGTGCGTTCGTTGCGCTGTGCGAGGCAGCGGTGGGCAGCAAACCCTCTCTGTTCTTCGGTGAAAGAAGCCCGCGTGTCCCCAGGAGGTGAGCTGCAGGGAGCGGGCAGAGGGGCTTCTCGGGGTGAGCGGTACCGGAGCGCTGAGCCCTGGCAGAGCACCGTCATAGCAAAGGGAAAAACACAACCCCATAAATCTCTGCGTTTGCCTCGGTTATGGGAAGAGGGGCGTTGTGGTGGGACCGCTTTGTGAGCTGGAGGTCGTGGGATTGCAACGTTCAGAAGGTGAGCTGTACAGGGAGAGAAGGGCCCAGCGTTAAGGCCAGAAGGAGCCCTGTCACCAGCCTGGCACAGCTGCCTTGGCTGCCAGCAGGGACTGGTGGAGACAGGGGTGCCCCATGACAGCTCTTTCCCCATAACTCTCTGTATTCCAGGTGAAACTTTTTCCTGCTTGATTTGATGTTTAGATTCCCAGCCAAGAGATCCTTGACTTTGAGAAGGGAGCAAGCGAGCACGGGGCTGGAAGGAAGGCTGGGGGCTCGCTCCCATGTTGGCTGGGGAGTGCTTCGCCCCTCAGCTGGAGTGTTTGCACCTGCAGGGTTATCAATGCTGAGAAGTCAGAGTTCAACGAGGACCAGGCGACGTGCTGCCAGATCTCCGTGCGCAGGAAGGAGCCAGGCCTGGAGGAGGACCAGGAGTGGCTGATCCTGTGCTCCACGCAGGTACGGCCCCGTTCTGAGTTCCCCCAGGTGCCCCCAAGGTGTTGCTCCATCGGCTTGGCTGGAAAAGCCAGGCAGAACACGTTCAGCACATCCTGAGTGCGAGCTGCTGTCTGCATGGCCCCTCTCTGCCTCTTTTCACTGCTTGATCTTCTTTCTCCCTTGCAGTTTTTGACTGGTTACTACTGGGCACTCTTCGATGGCCACGGTGGCCCAGAAGCTGCCATCATTGCCTCCAACTACCTGCACTACTGCATCAAGCAGAAGCTGGAGGAGGTTGCGGGGGCCATCGTGGAGCCCCATCCCCCCATGCACTTGAGCGGGCGCTGTGTTTGTGACAGTGACCCCCAGTTCGTGGAGGAGAAGCACATCCACATAGAAGATGTGGTGGTGGGAGCCCTAGAGAATGCCTTCCAGGAATGCGTGAGTTCTTTGTCCCTGCAGCAAGGGTTCCTTTGCTCTGAGCTCTCTCATCAGGAACTGGTCAGGCACTGATTGCCCAGCTGCTTGGGTTTGCCACATGGGCAAGGGATGCTGTGCATTGGGCTAGGCTAGGGCTGCCAAATGCCACAGCCTGCAGCTCCTTGAGCAGTCAGAGTGCACCCTTAAGGCGAGCTGACATCATGCTGGGTCAGTCAGCTGCCTGAGGTCTGCCTCAGGGCCATTGCACTGCATTGTAATGCTGACACTGAGCAAAGCTGCAGCATCTCTGCTCCCAGGGAATACATTCCTTCAGGACTAGACCACGGCTATTGTTAGACTCATAGACCATATGCAAGTTTGAGATCTCTGCTATCAGCCTGTCCTTAGCACTCAGTCCAGCAGTGATAACTTTGTTGGCTGCACTGAAGCAATGCTGACTTTCACCTTGCTGATTTTCTGCTGACTGCCTCAAAGCAGTTTTAGCTCCAGATTTCTGCTAGGAGCCAGGGGGCAGCTGCAGAAAGCAGCACCCTGGTTAACATCGCTCTTCAAACTTGTTTAAACCCACAGGATGAAGTGATTGGCCAGGAGATGGAAGCCACCAGCCAGACAGGAGGCTGCACTGCTCTGGCTGCCCTTTATTTCCAGGGAAAGCTGTATGTGGCAAACGCTGGGGACAGCAGGTGAGTGCAAGGAAAGGAAGAGGTTGCTTGGGAACAAGAGCTGGAATTAGCAGAGGTTTCATAGAATCATTAAGGCTGGAGAAGACCACGAGAATCATCAGGTCCAACTGTCCACCCATCACCACTGTGCCAGCTGAGCCATGTCCACATATCTACGGTTCTTGAACACCTCCAGGGATGGTGACTGCACCACTTCCTTGTGCAGCTTGTTCCAATGCCTTACTATAAGGTTTCCAGCACCTTATGTAATTCTAGAAAAGCTAAGCATGCAGCACACTGTGGAGCACAGCTGCTTGCCTGCCATGGGACCTATTGAATGGGTGGATGGGTGCTCTCGTGCCTTCTAGAAGGGCTTTCAGATTTCCAAGCACTAATGCTGCCCAGCCACAGGGCAGTGCAGCAGTAAGCTGATCCTGGCAGGGGTTCAAAAGTGGGATTTGATTTCAAAGCATGTTAAACAGCTTCCTCATGTGTCTTTGGCCACCACTCCTCCAGCAGGGAGTTCTGCCATTGTTAAACCAGGCAGGCTCAGTTCTCTGCTGCAATAACACAACTGCAGTGTTAAAACACGCCAGCATTTTTAAACCCTCCTGGATGTGTGGCTCTTCTCTGGCACTGCTCTGCCACAGAGCTCTCTCAGCTGGCTGACCCTGGGGTAGCCCCAGTAACAGGAGGTCAGCAGAGACGGGGCAGCCTTGATGGGGATGGGGCAGGATGCAGCTCAGCTCTTTGCCTCTTTTTCTCATAGGGCCATTCTTGTTCTGAAGGACACCATTGTGCCCATGAGCTCTGAGTTCACACCCGAGACAGAGAGGCAGCGACTCCAGCACTTGGTGAGTGACTCCTCTCATCCTCAGATCATCAACCTGGGTCAGGGAGGGCTTGTGGCAGGAGCCAAACTGTCAGCAGCCACGGGGGCTGTGAGCAGGATTCAACTAACAGCTCTTAGTGTTGGAGATGCTCACACCCAGCTTGGCCCTTGGGATGTGTTTTCCCACTGTTGTTCCCACTTTGCAGCTGGGAGTGCAAGTCCCAGCCTGTGAGCAGAGCACAGCCTTGCTGCTCACCCCTGCAGAAGCAAAGCCTGTCCATCCTATGCCTTTGTTCCCTCCTTCAGGCTTTTCTCTTCCCCAAACTCCTGGATGGAGAGTTCACGCGCTTCGAGTTTCCGCGGAGACTGAAGGGAGATGACGTGGGCCAGAAAGTCCTGTACAGGGATTACTTCATGGAGGGCTGGTGGGTTCTCTGTGTGTGGGGGCAGGGACGTGGCACGGGGCAGCTTTACCTGCTAGGGGCAATGGAATGCTCGAGGGGCTGTCTGAATGCAGAGCTGTTATCGTGGTAAAGGATGCTGTGAGCAGCAGGCCAGCAGTAGTTCTGCTCTGCCTGAAGAACAGGACCTTTGTAGGGAACAGCAGTGGGAGATGGTGCTGGGCTCTGCAGGTGGGGAGGTGGGGAGCCTCAGTACAACTGGAAGGAAATGGGGAAGGAGAAACACCCTGGCATTCAACAAAGGGTCATTCTTAATGCTACTGCTTCAGCAAGTCACCTTGAGCCTTCCTCAGTCACTCCCTGTGCATGGGGACACCACGAGTCTTGAATCACAGTTGAAATGCTCAGACTGAGTTGTACCATCACGTCAGACACCAAATCAACACTGAATGCTCTGTTCTAGGGGATACAAGCTGGTGGAGAAAGCTGACCTCAAGTATCCTCTTGTCCACGGTCACGGGAAGCAGGTAGCTTGATGCTTTATGCCCTGGGAGGGCAGAGCAGGCTGATGGGGAGGCCGAGAGCATCCCAGCCACTTGATGGGTTACTGACTGCACACATCCAGTGTATGCACACAGGGGTGGAGCAGGAAGAGCCCTGCCACTACCAGTGCCACAGCCCACGTGGCACCCCTTTGCAAAGACAAAGGACCATTTTTTTCAAGTCAGTTCAATTTTCTTCCTTGTCATCTCACACCATGAGATGACAACAGCCCTCTTGGGCTTCCTGAGGTCTGCAGGACATGCTGCTCACTACAGAACCCACCTTTGGCCTTCAGCATGAGCCTCTACCATGTCCCATGTTCTCCTACCTCACCCTTGTGCTGGCTTTCCGTATCCACACTCCTGTCAGGCCATCGCTTGTAATCACTTCTCCATCTCTCATGCCTCCTGGGGTGGCTGTGGGTGATGTGTGGATGATGCTCCTAAAGGGCAAGTCATGCAGCTGCCTTTAAGGGAACTGTGTTCTTACATGTGTTTTGCTTGGGGCCAGGCTCGTTTGCTGGGGACTCTGTCTGTCTCTCGAGGTTTAGGAGATCATCAGCTCAAAGTCATCGACACCAACATTGAAGTCAAACCTTTCCTCTCCTGCATTCCAAAGGTTAGTCGGAACACGTGGAACTGCAGGGGGGTGGTGGAATTCAGCTGCTCCTATTTAGTAGCGACTAAGCAGGTCTCAGCCGTGCCCTTTTTCCATCCCGTTCTCTCTGCATGCTGCCCAGGTGGCAACAAGGGAACAAAAAGGTTCAAAGCCCCCAGATCCCACAGTCAGCCATCCCTCAGGGAAGCAGTTACTCCCCTGCCCCCTCCTATGCACTGCAGCAAGTGGAGGTTCTGCTGGCATTCTGACCACAACGGAGTGCACTCACCACTGGTTGCCACCTACTTTGTTTGGAGTCTATGATTACCCTCACATGGGGAAGCAAAGAATCACAGGGTTGCTTAATGCATCCCAAAGCCGGGTGCAATACAGGAAACATGGCAGCCCTTGGTAAATAGCTGGAGCTTTCACATGTGGAAAACCCCCTGATTCAATCCTGTGTTTTCCAGGTGAATGTATTTGACTTTGCTCTGCATGACATTAAGGAAGATGATGTCCTCATCATGGCAACTGATGGCCTTTGGGATGTTTTGAGCAACGAAGATGTGGCTCACATGGCCAGGAGCTTCCTTGCAGAAAACAGGACAAATCCCCACAGGTAACATCAGCCTCGCCCTTCCCTTCCCAAAAAACCTGTCTGGACCAAACACACACTGAGACCACTTGGCTTCCAGGTCAGCTCTAGCATGGCCAAGAACTCTTTCTGGGGACTCTGGAAGGACTGACTCTTAGTATTTCTGCATCCTAAAGAAGCAGTGATAATGCTAATGTCTTCAGAAGTGTATTCTGGCTCTGTAGAGCCCTGTCTCAGTGTTGTTCTTGGAGGGCAGCGTTGAGTTAAACCAAAACTCTCATTTTTCCCCACTCCCAGATTTTCAGAACTGGCCAAGAGCTTGGTGTGCAGAGCAAGGGGAAAGAAGAGGGGCCACCAGTGGATGCTGGATGATAACCAGGAGGCATCCTATGATGACATCTCCGTGTTTGTCATCCCACTACACAGCAGGGTTGAGGACTGTTAGCATGACAGGCAGCATCTCAGTGCCCCCCTACTGTGGTGCTGTTGGGCATCAGCACAGGACTGAGGGATTTCTGCCAGTCATGCACCCTCCTCCAGCAACACCACCTGATGCAGAACCTGAGAACGCAGAGCCAGCACTTATGCAAGAAGATCAACAACATGCAAGTGGGCAACAAATCATCCCTCTTACTGCATTTACTTTGCCGTGCCAATGGGAAACTGCAGAAGCAGCCGCAGGAGCCGAAGACCACTGCTGATTAAGATTTAAGGACAGTGAACCTCAAAGCCCCATCTCTAGCAACCCTTCTTTTTAATATTAAAGAATGAAGATCAAGTGAGGTCCATCCAATCTTGAGGACTGGATTTTAATCAGACTCAAACTGAACATATAAGCTACAGGTGTCCCTCGTATCCATTTGCTCCATCAGCTGAAGAACTGGGAACTGCTGCAATGACCAACAGTGGTGGCCCACACCTCTTCCAGCTGAGATGGAGTCTCCACTGGAGTGGTGGATACCTGAAGAGCATTTCTGCTACACGTGATGTAGTTACTGTACAGCTCTCTAACAAAGTTTAGATCAGAGTGCTCACTAACACTTTGGGGGTCACTCTGACTACTGGCAGCGAGGCTGGTTTTGTAGCAGTGCTGATGAGAGCTGAAGTGTGTAAGGAAATGCATCAGCTGATTTCCTAGAAGAGCTCCAAGTAGAATAGAACCGGTTGTTCCATGTAGCTGGGCGCCGGTGCACGAGCGGTACGCTCACTGCAACAGAAGATGCCAGGATCATCTGAGCCTTTAAAGCAGATCTCTGAGGTTTTGAGCTGTTCATTAGACAGGTAAGTTCAGGTCTGGACAAGCTTCCCATTTCCTTCCTTTTGTGTTCGTTGTTCCTCACACAAGTTTGCCACATGACTCAGTGAAGCGGACAAACCCCGTTGTCTTTTGTGAACTGCTCGAGTTTTGTAAGGATGAGTCCTAATAAAAAATTTCTGTGTACCTTCTAGTTTTGTTCCCATCAGGCTTCATACAGACCTGAGATTGAAAAACAGATGGCCTTAGCAGATCACAGGGAAGTTATTGCTTCAGAATGTATTTACTGCTGCCCAGACGCTGTTTGTTGCTGGCAGCGTTCCCCAAGCAGCAATCGCCCCAGAGCTGCGTGCCAGGTTATTTCTTCAGTGCAAGGCTGGAGCCAGGAAGGAGGCAGCTTTCTCAGATATCTGCTCATGCTTTAAGCAAGCAGCATAGCAAAAATGCTTCTCTCCAGCTCCACTTCTCCCTCATCCTCGACTTTAAGCTGAAAGTAACACACAGGGGATGTTACCCACGTTGTCAGCCCCCATCCCCTATGGCAGCTAGACTGTAATGACACAAGTCTATTACACCAGCTCAACAATCTGGTTCCCTGCTGAGAAAGAGCTCTGCTTATATCTGGATCAGCTGCCTGGGAACACTCCTCTTCCTAGGACACTGCCTAATAGGACTGCTCCCCTATCCCCACAACCAAAGTACATTTTCCCACTCCCCTCTAGGAAACCAGCAAGTCGTATCACAGCAGACAAACGTAGAGTTTACAGCACTCAGCAAATCTGTCTACAAAATATTTATTGTTAACAGCCACAATATTGAGTTCTCCACATTCACGTATTTACACCCATCTGCAGATATACCACCTAGGAGTTAAATTCACCAAACCAGCTCATAACCGAAGAGACCAGCTTTTTCTCAACAGGATCCTAGCCTGGACCCAAAACCAAGGTGGAGACTCTTAAAGTGCAAATACAGGCAGAAGCAACACTGGAGGAAGATACACTGCTGCTTCCACATTTGTTCACTTAAGTGCTTCCATGTTCCCCAGACCAGGAGCCTCAAAAACTCCACACCAAAGTCTCCTACAGTCCAAGCAGATGAGCTCAGCCAACAGCATTATTTAGGAGCGGGCCGTCGAGTCTTGCTTTCCCTTCAGCTTTATTTTGTCCTAAAGAACAAAGGGTTGATCTACAAGATCTCCAGTGTGGGTGGTGGGGTGTAGAATGCTGATTCCTACTTGGCTTTACGTAAGTTTGGGCACTGTTAGATCTGAGAGTGCTGTTTTTTAATGAGGTATGTTTCTCATTGGGGCACCCAACTAAAGAGCACAAGAACTGTAGTCTTCTAACTTTTAGAGACACATGTAGAAGCTGGAAGCTAAGACCTTTCTTCTCCTGATCTTCCAGAAACACGGGATACCAAAGTTTCTTAACGCTACTGAGCACCTTTCCTTCTTTTAAAAGGCAAACAGAAAGCATTCACTGCTATACCAACCCATAAATTTGGCTTTGCCACTGTGCAGGTAGCAGCTGGCCCTGGGAAAGCATTCCAGTATGAACTGAGCCTTAGTGCTGTGTTGGGCACAAACGTGTGAATTCGTCTCACCCCAGAATTCCACTGATAGCCTTCAGGGATGTGTCCCTCCAGACTGGGACTTTGGTCCTCTTCTTCTGTTTTAAAAAAGCTTTTCATGCTGCAATGCACAAAGTTCTACAACACTGCAAGCAGAAGAGAACTGACTAACTGTTTTTAAACAAGCACTCAAGCCACGTCAACAAAGAACATTTTTAGAATAAAAGACTTCCAAATGCCTTTCCCTATAAAAAATAGCAGGAAAGAAACATCTGGGTGGGTATCCATTCTCTAAGGCAACAGAGTTTAAAACCATTTGCTACCGAATGTAAAAGCAGACTGTTAAAAGGTGCTACAGACCCCAAGGGGCTGTATGTTACAAACCACTGCAAAAGATGGCTGCTTACAGAAACACTGAGAAAGGTGAAATAGCACCGAGCTGAAGAGATGGTGGTGAAAACCCAGTGGGAGCATAAGGTCAGAGATATCCACCTCCCTTTGCCCTGGGTGTTTGTAGGTGCTGGTGGGACAGTACTCACTGGGAAGAGGGATGCTGGTGTAGTGCTATGAATCTCTCAACTGCAGCTCTAACAGCAGAAAGGTCTGGTGAAATCAGCAGCACTGGTCTGCTGCCCCCTTCGCTCCGTGCTCCACGCTTGCCAGCATTTTACATTCAGAAGAGAAGAATAGACTTTCAAGGCCACGGCCCAGCATGTAACACCAAGCACATTTAGAAAGGTAAGAATACAATAAATGCCACATTTACTCTGAGCTGGTCACTGGATGTATCTAATCAGTCAACATCACAGGAGAAAGAACCTGGAACCAGACTTAAGACTGGAATTTGCCAGCAAGCCCCACTGGAGTGGGAGAGCACCTCTGTGGGGGTGGTCCTTGGAACAGGGCCACAGCAGAACAAAGCCAGCAAAAGCACATTAAGCTTTACTTTCAATGCAATTCCATCTGGCAAATGAAGCATCGCTTTTTTTGGGGGGTTGCCACAGCTGAAAACCTGCACCCCCAGTAACAAGTGCACAGTGTATGAAACAACAAACCAACTGTGCATGTTGTTGCACCAGCCAAGAGATACAGGTCTAACCCCAGTCTGGGGAGCACTTAACAGAGCTTATTTACAAACCAGGAGGGGAAAACTGCATTGGTGAAAGTGAACAGCTTTGACATCCCACAACACTGGCCCACATCACATTCTTTAATATCTAGAAGTAAAAAAATATGGCCCATTCCCACTGCCCCCCAAAAGTATTTACAAAATCAGCCAAGATGATACACAAGGAAGATACAGAGGCATACTGTGCTTTCAGTCCCAGATTGGCTTCCCCATCTTCCTGCTGACAGACTCCTTTATTGCTTGGGACACAGACCAGACTTCAGCACTGTGTGCCCCCTTTGGGATGCTGGCAGAGCAAACAGCAGGGAGGCTTCTTAAAGCTCTGGCAGTGTCAAAGATGTGTATGGTTTGTTGCACACTAAATTGCCAAAAAAGGATGACAGGATGCATGATGTAAATGTACAGTCACCCACTCTTTCAGCATGTGTTCAATTGCAAGAGTCTCCAGCATGTGTTCTTCGAGTTGAAATCTGTCAGTGTTCACATTTGGCACAGAAGTAATTTCCATCCGTGGACTGCAGTGAAACAGAGATCCCAGATGTGAAAAACATGCACTTGTGGGAAGGAACTGCATGTTCCACCTTGGAACATCAATTGTATTATGCACTTAAAGGAGGAGAATACAAAATTACAGCTTAAAAACTGCCACAAGCATTCTGTAAATAAAGCAGACTCCCCTGCTTTCATAATACTGCGCCAGTTTCAACTTCAGCTGAAGCCTGCTGGGCATGGTCTGCAAGGTAAGGAAGTGTTGTACGTCACTTCTGAACATGCTAGGAGGTCAATTGAAGGAGTTCTTGGAGAGGAATGCAGCCAATAAGGTAAGACATATGGAAACATATACAGGAATGGGATCAGAGTCTAAAAGATGTAGGCAATTCCAATACTATCCTTGCAAGAATACACTGCTGTTAGCAGCATGGAAAATCATCTGACAGTAGCTGCAGTGTAGGAATTAGTCATCAATAGTCGGCAACCAGAAGGCCTACAAGAGAGGAAAGAAAGAACATTTGTCACTGAGCAGAATGCAAATATCCTACAGCACAAGTCAGGAGCTGCTCGTGCCTCCCTTCCATAAGCAGGCAGGCAGAGACACAGGAGAGGCAGCAACACCCTCCCAGGGGTTTAAACCCTTTCTGAACCTGCTGTGGTTTGCACTGCATGTTCTGCAGAGCAAAGCCAGCCTTAAGCAGAATGAAAATACCAGCTGTGTGCAGCAACCAAAGAAATTCACACTTCTGCATTCATTCACTGCTCCGCCTTCACGCATGCGTTCAAACATTTTCCTGCCAGTATCACAGCATCACAGAATTGTAGGGGTTGGAAGGGACCTCCAGAGATCATTGAGTCCAACCCCCTGCCAAAGCAGCTCCCTACACCAGGTAGCAAGGTAGCAGTACTTGCTGTGCTGCCCCATGTACCTACCTGAGGTGAGGTGCAATAAAAGCTTGCTAGAGGCCCACCTCTCAGAAAGCCCAAGGAAAAGCCCATTGGTGCCACAGAACCTTCTCAGATCCCTTTCCAAAAAGGTAAGGGCATCACAGGACCAGGAGGAAGTTCAGTGGTTTTCTTACCATATTTGAACACGCGCTAGCAAAAGTCATGAATTTGGGGTTGAACTGCAGACACGTTATGGGACCTGTGTGCTTCCCATCCAGCACTGCCACTTTCATCCCACTTTCCCCGTTCCAAACGTGAATCTTCCCATCCTCTGATCCTGCAGGCAGGAGTGGAAAACAAAACACACAACATACACTGGGGAGGCCAACAAGAAAAGCCAAGTTCAACCTGTCTGTGAACTGAAGGAACAAGCACGCCTCCTCTTCTCAGCTTAACGTTTACTTTTCTGAAAGTATCACTACAGCATTTACAAAACGTGGCTACTGCCACACATTTGCATCCAACAGATGCTTTGTGTCTTTGCTCTGTGGAGACCCAACGCAGTGCAACACTGTTCTGCCAAAGAGATTAACGACCATCATCACTAATCTGAAGAGGAGAGCTCAAGTGACCAAGTGAGGAGCAAAGACCACTGGCAGCTTGCACTCGTATATAAGAGGCCAAAAGCTGAGTGCAGGAACCACTGTCCACAGAAGTGCTCATTTCAGGCACAGGATAAGCATGTCATTACGTGTGCAAACTAATTTGCAGTGAAGGTCTCAGTGACCTATGCCAAATACCAGAAGCTTCACTGGAAATGTCGGCTCCCCACATTGCTGCAAACAAGACAGGCTGTTCACTTTAAAATGCATTTTGCAAGCATCGTTATTTGCAAGGTAACTCTGAAGCTGGAGGCTGAACCTTTCTATAACTCAACTCTGGTTTAGTCTCCTTTTAAACCGGGTTCCCAATAAAAAAAATGCAAGGAATTTCTTCTGTTCCTGTATTTACACCCAGCCTTCCAGGAAGAAAAAAATTAAGGAGCACAAGTTATAACTTCACCATATTTAAAATCTGAGCAGAAATCTGCATTTGGGAACTTTTTTCACTAAAAATTTTATTTAGAAGGCCACAGTAGGAACATGAGTTTGTTCAGTAAAGTGCTTTCCAAAGAGAAGGATGAAGAAAGCAAGAACAATCCCTTCTCTGCAAGAAGAAAATTCTCAGGCAAAACTTTCTGCAATTATGTCGCTCACTTGCAGGCTCACTTCAGATTTGTTCTCAAGGATGCTGAGCCAATTACCAACAAAACAGAAAATCCCTGTCAATGTGAAGAAAGCTAACAAATGCACTGTATTATTTAAATACTTTCTGCTTCCCAACAGTGATGTAACTGGTGTCCTAAACAACATACAGCACTGAAATTTCTTCTGAGTATCTTACCTATCATGATGAACTGGGAGTCTGGTGTGAAGGACGCCTCCAGCGTGACAGCCTTACTGTTGTTATACCCCTATGGCACAAAGCAGAAGATGTAGTAGTGCACTCAGTAACCTCCCAACCAAAGGGCAGAGCCCCTCTATGACATCACAGAGCTCTGTGTGCAGAGGGGCAAGAAGGACGCTGGGTTTTGTGATACCCCAAACCAGCTTATCTCTAAGGTCCCTTCCGACCCAAGCCATTCTATTGAGTTCAATGTCAAGTTCCAAGCAGGTAACACAGGCACCGTGCTCACCCCAAATGTATGCAGGACAGCTCCTTTAAAGGCATCAATCAGTCGAATGAATCCTCCATTAGTTGATATCAGGATGAGTTTGCCATCGTTACTGAACTTCAGGCCCGTCCACTCACACGTGCGGTCGTACTGCATCTTAAACGTCGCAAACGGCCCCTTCAAAGGGAAGAAGTTCCAGAGTTACAAGAGAAAATCTTTAGGCCTGAAATATCAGACAAGGGAAAATGTCACACTTAAAACACGCTGCTGGATGTTTAGGTTTCAATGAAATATGAATCTGCAGTTTTCAAAGCTGAAAGAGCCACAAGTAGGGGGTTTCAGTATCTGATTTCCCTTACTCTACTACATTTAACAGTAGGAATACATTTAAGGGAATGCTGGAGCTTGAATTTTCAAAGAAAGCCAACTGAAGTTAGACAGAGCCTGAGGCAGTGTTGCTGGCATCTGAATTTCATGATTTTCTTTGGTATTTCCATCCTCTGAAGGTCTCGGCTCCACCTTTCCAGTGATCCTCCAGATTAAGCAGCAAGGAAAACAACAACAGAAACCCTGAATATGAGATTGGAACAGGTGAAAGAGTTGTAGAAATCAACTCCCACAAGTGTTTGGGAATGGATTTCAGGACCTGTTGACAGCACATACTGTCCATCAGACACACACCAAGCAAAACCCCACAGGTGCCAAGCACAGACACCCCAGAGAGCAAGCTGGAGCAAACAAAGCCTCTGAGCACTGAGTTTGTGTCACTTCTTGCAAGCTAAAGTGTAAGAAACAACATAAGGGTGGCTCACCTTGTCAAAAGAACGGAGATCATAAAGCTTCACCATTTCAGAATTGACTCCAGCAGCAAAAATCAACCCTTCTGGGTCAAAAGAGCAAACCGGTTTCCCCTGGAGATGCATTAAACCCTAAAACAGAGGAAGTCCACATTATTTTCATGAAGTGGTGCTCATATTTCCTCCACCACCCCCAGAGCCCACTGCAAGCAGGTCAGAAGCATACAGGCTGAGTTTCTGTTATGAATATTGACATCTCCCTACATTGCTAAGTCAGCCTCTCAAATGCAACTCGACTACTTCAAAACATCACACCGAGCTTCCAGTTTGGTGCAATGACAAAGTTTACACTGGAACAAACTGAGATCTCCTTGCAGCTGTCATTTACTCAAAGTAAGGAGAGGAGAGAACATGTTGTAACTGTATTAGCACCCACAGGAGGCAATTGCACAAAAAAGTGCTGCTGAAATTGACAGCAATGTGCAACCAATTTTGGCATGAGGGGGAAAAAAGCTATTTTTGAAGCAGATAGAAACAGCTCTGGTAAACACCACTGCAGAACTTTCCATCCCAACTTCACGAAACCTCACACCTTCCAGATGTCAGCAGAGCATTTTTATGGCTTAATGTGAATTTTTCCTCAGCTCACACTAGGAAAGACTCGAGAGAATCTGACAAAAGCCAACAAGATGTGATTTCTGTGTACTGACTGGAAAGCCTGCGTGTCAGCCAAACGTTTCTATGTAACTGTTCATCAACAAGAACATCTTTGATTAAATCAGCAATACAGTTAAGCTTCTACATTCAGCATAATACTGCCCCTCAGTAGCCTTTGCTATTTTTTGTCTAGTTTAGGTCAGCTTTTCCCTGAAACTAAGCAGTAAGTTAGCCAATACAAAGAATGCCCACAATCAGGACATCTTTAGTTTCATGATCATGTTTCAGCAGCTACAGCTGCCATCTCATGGGCAAACCAAAAATTACAAGCAACAGCTCCTCAACCTGTTTCTTAGCATTTGCTGCCTGCAGCTTCCAGTTGCAGCTCCTGGTACAGTTATTCTTACAACTTCAAACTTTGCTGTCACAGCCCTGTCACTGCAATTACAACCTTAGTATTCATTGCAACTCCAAGACTGAAATTCATCCCATGGCAAATTCAGACACTGGCATAAAACACACATTGCCAGAAAAAAGCAAAAATGTTAGGGAAAAAAAAAAAAAAGCTTACTTCTAGGGCAGCTCTATTTAGTGAAACATGTAACCTTTCATCTCCTTTTTCACTGACAGTTATATCATCTGAAATCAGAAAGCAGCCCTCTTATATGCAGCCCCTTATATGAGATGAGGGCACACTGCCACGTTACCTACAGGGATGAAACAGCTCATCACCACTGAAAGCTGGACATTTACTCCCAGTCCTGTTGTCAGTTTGGGCAATTTTTATTTTTTTTCCACTCTATGTAAGCTTGTTTCCACTAAAAGCAAAACAAAACAAACCCCAAACACAGAAAACTACTCTTTCAAAACAAGTAAATAAAAATGATAGGTTTTTCTTTCCTTTTAGAAAGCTGCATCTGCTCACAGCCAGGTTTGATGAGCAATAAAGGCAATGGAAGAAGTAAACAGACCATACGGTTGCTGTGTTACTTTACATCATCCATTTCTTCATCCAACTTCACTGCATCAGGGCATCAGATTTAAACACAAATGCACAATGAACACACAAAAGGCATCTCCCAGCACCCCTTCTGTGCAGAGATGCTGGCTAAGAGAACACTTTCTGCATGGGGTAGCAGCCTGATGTTTTATCAGTTGTGGTGTTATGTCTTGCTCTTCACAGTGCTTCTCCAGTGCAGAGACATAAGTAGAAGCAAGTGGTGTTACACAGTGTGACATGCTTAATTGAAATAATTAAGAATCTTTTTGAGACCTCTTGATCAAGACTCCTTCAGAACTCCAAGAAGGTGTTAATGCTGAACGAGCAACAGCATTTCTCTTTCACACATCCATTTGCACCTTTCCAACTGAGAACAGAACACACAAATACACGCATTGATCTGATATCTCACCTGACAATTCGGAGAGCGAAGATCCCAGAGTCGAATGGTTTTATCCAAGGATCCAGAAATAAAAGTATCATCCACTGGAGACATTGAAAGGGCAACCACTCTGCAACACAGAAGGTAAGATGCATCAAAGACACACAAAAGGAGTCGATGAAGCAACTCCTACCTCACCAGCTGTGTACAAGCTGGCGTTGTATGGTGTTGCTATTCAACAGTTCTACAGAGCAAAAAAGAAAAGGAGGACTGACTGGAGTGTAACACAGCTCAAGTGCAGCACAAGCACCATTTCACCCTGTCAGTTTCTCCTGAAATGCACCAATCCACATCTTACCTCTTGGTGTGCCCAGGAAAATAGCGAATGTATTTGTTGTCATGCAGCGACAGGTACCGGATTGTATCTGAAACCATAAACAAACCATCAGCTTTATTACACCACAAACTCAACATTATCTTACAGCTGCCACACAGTTAACTTGTTCCCCACAGCAATAGTGAGTAAGCCTGGTCAGCTGAGCTCAAGTCAGACCTGAAACCCAATCAAGTTAAAAACAGACACAAAGCAACTTGGTTTCCACTGCAGAAGGGGGAAGTCAAGCAACAGAAAGGATACTTTGTGCACTCTGAAGTAACATCACGTCTTTGAAAGGGAAAAATGCCCTGCAGCTTATGCACATTAATTGCAAAGTTGCTCAAATTAAAGCAGCAGCAGGTTTTACTCCAGCACTCTCACAAAACCAGAACTTTCCAAAGTTGATGCTACTGCTTTTATTCTTGCTTGACAGTAGGAAGATTGCTGTCTTACCTACGTACCCATCCATCAAGTCAGTCTCCACCTGAACAGTAAAGCTCAGGAAATGTGTGAATTTATCCAGAGAGAAGAAAAAATATGAACTTCAAGGCCAGGACAAGACCATTAAAAAGATTAATTGAGAGCAGCACTAAAGCATTTATCAATTAATAATTTTATTGAGCAAAGGCCAGAAGTACCCAGAATTTTGGAAGGCACTGTTGAGACTTTCACCCAAGATTAAAATAAATCTTTGTAAGAGGAAGCAATTTGCTGATTGATTAGAGCACAGAAGTGAATTTTTTTTAACCTTTATATGCAGACACATTTGAACAAAGAAACACGAAAAGCAGAAGTCAAACATCTGACATCTAAAAGCAGCTTTCAGACAGAAGGACTAACAAGACAGCATCATCCAAATTACTTTTAACACCAGCTGAAGGGAACTAGTTTGAGCTCCTGCTAACTGGAAAAGATTGGCCTGATGCATCTGCTCCACAGTGCTGTGTGACTGCATACTGCTGTAGTGATGAGGAGTGCTGAAGCTCCAAGAAACCAAGGGAAAACTCAGAAGAACAAGGTCAAAGGGATGCAATACACATGGAGCGTTTTAACACTCGAGAGTTACAGCATCTGGGGCTTTTTGAAATGATTATTCTGCAAAATTTGGGATCTGTGGGAAAAACGACTGAGTTACCATTTCTGTTTGAGATCAGAGTTCTGAACCAGCCTCTGGTATTTGGCAGTAAAATTAAGGCTGGCTTGATCAAGCAGGAAACACAACGCTGGCGACACGCTGCTCTGAATGGCTTTAAGTGACCTCAGGTGACTGTTAAAATGAAAATCCCTAAAACCAGCACCACATCCCATACTGACTGGGACTGGAGCTTCAATCATGCTGATAAGGCACAGCTCTCGTTTTTTCCTGTGAGAATATCATTACCTGATATCCCAAGTGTCCTTGCAGAATTCATCCTTCCTTGCAAATAACCCTCTGATCCTTCTTGCTGGCAGCGCTCTGTCCCAGGCAAGGCAGTGGCCTGTACAGTTATCTCCTGTACCGGGTGGTATCATAGACCCTCAAACTGTACAAACTACTACCTCAGCCTGGAATCAGGCAAGAGGAACTGCATTCCAAGGTCTCGAGATCTTCAGAATTGAACAGATTGGTGCAAGTCCAACGCTGGGGAGTGAGGGACAGCACTCCAGGACGTTCCAGGGTCGCTGCACGGAGGGTTACCACACACCTTGCCCAAGAGCATTAGCTGCTACTGAGGATGTGGAGCCCTACAGCACTGTTGGTCTAAATCTCACAAGCATTTTCACATTCTACTTTTTTCTTTCATTCTAATAACTATTTCTTTTATTCTAATTAATTCTAATCCTAATGCTTTCCTTCAGGATCAGCACTCGTTAAACTCTCGCTCCTTAAAGACAGACCAGTGCTTGTAAACAAGGACTCTCAACTGAAAACAGCATTAAAAATGTTAAATTAAGTATAAACTAAAATAACAGCCAAGCCAGAGCTTCTACAGAACAAAGTAATTCTATAAATAAAACAAGTATGCTGGCCGTGAAACAGACTGAAGGGCCAGTGCTTCAGCCCCACTCATCATTCTTCTACATCACCAAAACCTGTTCCATCACAAACTTGCTTATTTCCAGAGCAAGCTAGGCCTGAATGTGTAGTCTAACTTGACTTCCAAACTCTCCACGTCCACCTGCTCCAGATTCATATTCACTTAATTCCATTGACATCCTAGCACCCGCCAAACACCAGCATCTCCACCTTTAAGCTCTACATCTGCAATAGAAAAAGCAAAACTACTAACTCAGAAATCAATGAGTTTATAAACGCAATGTCAGAGCCAATTTAAGCAGTGCTGTGCTAAGAGACACAGTCAATGAAGAACTCCTGGCAGACACTACCAACAAAACTGACACAAACTGCTCCAAACCAATGGACTCCAGTTTTTCTCGCCTTGAGAAGCAGCAGTGCCCTATGGAAGGACTGGCCTTCTATTTATGCAAGTCCTAAACTGGACTTCTAGATTAAATTCAAATCCTTTCGTTGATAGTCGTGAAGGTCTAAAAAGCCCTTCAGTGTCATTGATCTGAAGAATGTGGCTGCTGCAGATAGCAACTGTGGGAAAAACAGCACGGAAACCAATTTTCTGCGTGTGCCTATTACAAGGACAAAAGCAGTGGGGCTCATGAACTGAAACAGCTTATCTCAAAAGAGCTCTGCGACCTCCTGGCTGTGGCTGGTGGGTTGCCGAGTTACCTGAGCTCTCTGTCATCTCTGCTGCAGAACATTCCCTTTCTTCACAGCTGACCTGTGCATCAGGCATTTAGCCCGCCCTCTGCTGCATCCTCTTCCTTCCTCACTTCACAACAACAACATAAGGCACAGAGGCTGATTACAGTGGTATCAACCAACAAAATGAACTGCGAGTTTTTATTTTTTCTTGAACTCCCCAGGGTCAAGAAGTGAAAGTTCATCTCGCTCACAGCACCTCCACAACTCACAACAGTACGCTTGAGAGAATTTCACTGAGCTGTGCATTAGACTTGAACATCAGATCCCCCGTGGCAGCACACTCACCACCTAAAAGCTGCTGCAAATTTTTGCCAGCCCTGCTATTTACACCCATGCACATCACTTCAAGCATACATGCACTAAAAACGCTCAACTATGGCAGATCACTCACCATCTATCTTGTTGGAGCTGTACACAACTGTGTTGGCTGCGTGTGTGTACCTGATGAGGTCCACTCCGTACTTCTTACTGTACAGCGTTCTCTTCGGCCTGTTAAAAGGAAGCAGAAATAACTGCCCTCACACAAAGCTCAAACCGAACCTGAGCCCATTAGCAGTGCCTGTTTTCATTACAAGATTGCTTCGGTCAGATGTTTTTATGCAATGAAAGAAAAGCATTTGTATTTCATTTTCAAACAAGTACCTTAGTACCATCTTCCAGAGCATCCCTCGGCTTGAGCTCCTTGGGATGCCAGCAAAACCCACTTATGAGTCTCCTTCCAACTTTCTTTTTCCCCACGTATACAAATGAAGAGCTGGGGCTGCTAGAATAAGAAGCCTTTAATGTCAAGCAGCACTGCCTCATCAGCACCTTGCCAAAATCCATCTGCTGCGTGTTTCAGATTCTGATTTTGTCTTTTTGTCTTCAAAACCTCAGAGATCTCATTCAGAATGCCTTCCTGGTATTAAGACAAATGCATATCAGTGCTATAAGAAAGCAGTGGTAACATAGGGACTCTCAAACTGCTGGAGAACTGAAATATATTCAAATCCTGTATCAGTTCCAGCATGAAACTCGAGTGTAACATCGTGTGACAAAACTGGAGACATTCAAAGAGCAAACACACAGAACTGGTTGTTGAGGGTCTGGCAAGCAAGGAATATACTGCAGTAGTAGAAAGAACTGCAAAGGAAGTGTAGAAGCAGCAGTTTAAGTGTATCTCCCTGCAGCAGCAGAACTGAAAAGCGGTGCAGGCTCTCCAGCACCTTCCTTCCTCTTTCTTCCCCAGCTGAGGCAGCACAGTGGTTTCTGAGCTGGGCAATGGACCAGGATGGGTTCTGGTATCAACGTAAGAAATAAAGCAATCTCTTCAGTGAGTTGCTTCTAAGCCACTCCCATAAAATATCTTACTACTGCAAACTAAAGGTAACAGCGTGCAAATGGAAACAAAACAAGAGCAGTTTAAACCAATACTGCTGCCAAAGAGCAGTTCACCAGATTACACCCTCAGACAAGGTATTTCTAAAACACTCAACTGCTTCCTTGTGTTCTTTAGCTCCAAAGCAACACACCCAAACAATAACAGGAGCTGGAGATGTTTCCTATCAGAACAAAAATAGACATTAATCTTAAAGATCAGCTCTCGAACAGCAGAAGCCACAAGACTTCAAGTGAACTTGCTGAAGAGAAGCTTCCATTAACTGAAAGTCAATAAAGCACAAATCATGCAAAGCCCTCCCCCACTTCTACCCCTTGTACCAAATCCCAACAGATTCTTCCTCACTTCCTTCCAGTTGATTTTTACATCAATTTCAAAAGCTTAGCAGATGCAAAGATGCTACAAAATGAAAACAGAACACACATAACAAGCTTTAAAGTACAGAATTTAAATCTGGATAACTTGAACTCTGTAATCTTGTGCCTGATGTGCTCCCACCTCAGCTATGCTGCTGAGCACCTACAAACAGCTTAGGTGAGAAGAGACCTTCCATGATGTATAAAGAATATCTACATGCTCTGAACGTGAATAATGCCATGATTATGTGTAGATATGCTTTAAGGAAGGTGAATATGTAAGCTGATACAAGCAGCAGCCAGTCCCTTCATGCATTAGATTGCCAATCTAGCCAGCCTAACTGCAAATCAAGCAATATTGCCAAAGCAAAGCACCCCAGAATAGCAGTCTAGTCTGCTACAATGAAGAAACAGAGCAGGCAAGGCTGGTATCTGCAGCTGTATAGTATGCTATGGCTCCTTCTGGTAAAAACATCACCCGGAACTGGAGCCACCAAACGTCTGGTGAACACCACGGCTAAGCAAGAATCCAGCTCCATCACCTCTTGATCTGTATGAATAAAACACAACTGCTACACACTAAGATACAAGCGGAACCCCTGCTAAGCCATCTTTGTATCACAGCAGGGTTGCAGACCCACAGCCATGAGCCCCCAGCTGAAGTCCCACAGGCTGCCAAAGCTCCCCATACATACAGCCTGAGGCTCACTTCCATGGCTTTGGTTACACAGCTCTTACGTGGCTTATTTGTAGTGGCAAGGCAAACAAGATGAGTGCATGCCTAGAGTATAACTACACACAGATGCACTTCCTATGCAGCCAACAGAACACCTAGCGGGGTGGAGGGGGATTGTCACTTCTATTTAAATGTTCCAAACGCCATATAAATGCATCCTGAAACATGGGTTGCCCTGATGAAACCGTAGGGCTGCAGCAGAAAGTCATCAGGCTTCTTCACTTACCATAGTTAAAGCAAACCTAAAGCACACATCAGTAACAGGCAGAAATGGTGATGGAAGGACCAAATGCCTCCCAACACATCAAACGATTCTTTACAACACTGAAAGGGTAAGAGCAGTCAATAAAGCCTGCATGAGCATCACCACCCCCCTGCTGCTGTATGTAACTAGGATCAAGAATGCAATCTGGAGCAGGCACCATGCACGTAGCCTTACCTACTCTTATAAAAATGAACACAAATTCACTTCAAGCAGAAGTCTGCAGTGTCAGATAGAGAAGAGCAACAGTTCTCACTTGAAATATCAGCTAACTAAACAGAAGCCTAAAAAAATAAGTAATCTACAAAATCAAGAGGATATGCAGGATGCAGTCTTTCAAATACACCACCTATGATGCCTTAGTCTGCTTGAAAAAACAACAGGGCTAGAAGTGCCAGGCTACACTGACACATTAGCCAGCGGAACAATTTTTTGCTCTGCTGCATTATTACCCTGTCATTTTCATACTCTGTCCTACAATAGACACACAAGTTTTCCTTTCACTTTTTGTACGTATGTTATGCTTAAAAACATTCCAAGTCAATATCAAAGCCACGCCAATTACTCTTTCAGAGCTTTCAGTTATCTCAACATTGTAACTGTTCCATTTTAATGCACTAATGACATCACTGTGAAGCACCCGTTTGCCCCAGAGTACAAATTTGCTCACTTGTCAAAACATACACCATCAAAGTTATCAAAGTCTTATTTGTGTGTTTTTAATCTTCTGAACAACAGCACTGTTAGCCAACGGCTGCAGAGGTTTCTGGGGTTTTGTTCTTAAGACAGAAGAAGTGCTGCATGATCAATGAAATGATTCTGTTTGACAGGAAACCAACACGCCTTAGTTTTAGTCTACTAGCACAAAGCAGTATCATAAATAAGCATCTTGATTGAATACACATCGCATGACCACAGAATCACCAACGTTGGAAAAGACCTACAAGATCATCCAGCCCAACCCTCCACCTGTCACCAACAGATCTCACTAAACCATGTCCCTCAACACAACTCCTAAATGTTTCTTGAACACCTCCAGGGTCGCTGACTCCACCACCTTCCTGGGCAGCCCATTCCAGTGCCTGACCATTCTTCTGGAAATTAGTATTTCCTAACATCCAGCCTGAGTCTCCCCTGCACTTGAGTCCTTTCCCTCTGGTTCTATCACTAGTTACACAAGAGAAGAGGCCGACCCCCAGCTCACTGCAACCTCCCTTCAGGTAGTTATAGAGTGATAAGGTCCCCCTGAGCCTCCTCTTCTGCAGCCTCAACAATCTCAGTTCCCTCAGCTACTCTTCATGAGACTTGTGCACCAGACCCCTCACCAGCTTAGCTGCCCTTCTTTGAACCCACTCCAGGGCCTCAGTGTCTTTCTTGCAGTGAGAGGCCCAGAACTGAACATTGAACTCGAGATGCGGCCTCACCAGAGCCAAGTACAGGGGAACAATTACTTCCCTACTTCTGCTAGCAACACTATTTCTGATAAAAGCCAGGATGCCATTGGCTTTCTTGGCCACCTGGGCACACTGCTGGCTCGTAAAGACACGCAAATCATGTATATTCCAACCAGCATTTACAGATAAAAGTAGGAACGCAGAATCATTATGGTTTTAACCTCTTGAGATCATTGAGTCCCATTCCCACCTGCCCACATCCCTCAGTGCCACATCCCCCAGTTCTCTAACACCTTCATGGACTCTGATTCCCCCAGGTCACTGGGCAGCTGTGCCAGAGCACATTTTCCCAGTACCCAACTAGAAAAAAAACACAGAGCACTGCACTCCACCCTCTCACAACACACCTCAATGACACAACAGTCCCATTCAGGAACAGGGTTTTATTGAACACATCCCCAGGCTACTGTAAGTTACAGTAATCAGACAGCCAGCCTTGTTCACCTTTTATTTACACAACAGACGAATGCAGCTACTTAATACAGCGCTGCTCGCAGCAATTATCCGTGTTTTAGCGAGGCGGAGAAGCCAGTTTACACGCTCGTACCGACCCGCAAGGCTAGGATTCGATCCCTAAGCAGCGTGCGTCTCGCCGCAGCGAGATCTCCCCTCGCGCAGCCACCGGGGCCAAACAAGGCGCAACGCCCCACCGCCCCGCGCTGCTCCCACCCCGTTGCCCGCAGCCCCGGGCCCGAGACACTCACTTGCCCTCCTGGCAGTCGTACAGCACGATGGAATCGTCGTCGCTGCTAGAAATGACGGTCTCGCCATTGGGACTGAAGTCGAAGCAGTTGATCTTGTCCGAGTTCTCGCGGAACACCTTGGCCACGCGGAAGCTCCGCAGGACGTTGTCCGTCAGCTTCATGCCGCCGGGCCGAGCCGCGCTAAGGGGCGGCCGCGCTGAGGGCGGGCGGGCGGGGCCGCCGAGCGGGCCGGGAAAGGCAAGGCGGGCCCGGGGCACGGGAAAGCGAGGCGAGGCAAAGCAAAGAGGGGCTTGGCGACTCAGTGAGGCTCAGCGGAGGACGGAGAGAGGCGGCTGGCTAAGCGCGGGCGGGGCAATGCGGGAAGCGGCGGGGCCGGGCCCGCTCAGGCGGCGGCGCGGCGGCTCCTCCTCATTGTGTCCGCCATCTTGGGGCGCCGCTATAGGCGGGGCGGGGCAGAGCGCGGGGTATGCTGGGACGCCGCGCGCACAAAGCCTCATGGGAATAGGGAGGGCGCGGGGCGGTCCGGTCTGGCCGCCATTTTGAAGGCGGCTGTGGACGGGTTTGAGGGGGCTGCGCTGCTGTGCGTAGTGGCTCGTGCTGAGCTTGTATTTCTTCTTTGGGGCTGTTATTGCTGCGCCCCCAGCCCTCCAAAAAAACGTGAAACGAAGCTCATAGCGCGGGGCTGGTGGGAAAAGCAGGGCTAAGTCAGTGAGGAAACGGGTTGCGGTTGCGGCCTCCTGGTGGGGCTGGAGTGTGTCCCTGTGGGGTGGGTGCTGGAGGGGTTGGCACAGAGTTTATCGATGCTGCCCTTGTTCTTGTCCCTGCTACAGACCCACCTCTTTTGAAAGACACGCTGACAGAATTCCGGCTTTTAAATGCCGTTTTATGTCATATTGTTACGTTTTTTTCTTCTATCTCAGTGCTTTTAATTCTGTGTGCAGCCTTCAAACGGTACCACACCGATATAAAGGCTATGGCACTGTGGTCTTACAGCACTGACAGCACGTAAAGGACCTTCAACAAAGACATCCTGGCTCTTCAGGTAGGTGCTGTGGTACAGACACCTCTGGACTGTCTTTTTACCTGTCACAAATATTGCTACCAAGTTCTGTGTTCGTGTGTCTGTGCGTCTCAAACCTTGAAGTGACAATCTCCCACTACTGTGATGATTTCCAGCACCCTCGTGTGTTAATTTTAGAAGAGTAATGGAAATATTTTGTTGTTTTGGTCTCCAGAAAACTTAAAAGCAACAAAGAAAACAATAAATAGCAAAAGCCGAAGTTGCCTTTGTGAATGTTAATTGCATTTTCCCTGCATCGGCTCCAGAAGTTTGCTTCAGATTAATATTGCCCTCTTGTGGTCAAACAGCGGTAAGGCTAGGAACTTGGCAGGGATGTTTGCACGTCATTCAAACACGTAATTATTTTATCTGCAGATAGCACTTAGTCAGGTAAACAAAAGTCTTTTTTGAGATGTCTTTTATTGCTTGTTTACTACTGCTCACCCTTGCAGGTTTTGGCACCTAGCCTGATTCACCTCTTCCTATTGCAGTGTCAGAATGATTCACCAAGTTTTGTTCTGAAATGGATTCAGGATTTTAACGCCTGCACCCCAGGGGCCTCCACAGAAGGCACTTTCATTGCTTCGAAGGGCCTCAGGTTCAGCTGCTCCACTGCAGGTCAGTTCAGAACCTGCCGTCGATTTTCACATAATAAAAGACTTTAGAGGAGGTCAGAACAGCGTGCCTCTTGCACATTGTAAATTGCATCAAAGCCTGGATCTGGGCCTGGAAGATGACTCACCAATACCACCATAAGACAATTTACTTCAAAACACCTACAATACTTAGCCAGGTTTTAGAGTTGTATAACACCGTGGGTTGTTGATTTGATATTTTGTCACTCCCCTTTTTATTCTTTCTTTTGCCTTTCTTCTTAATCGTTGGAACTTAGTTTGTCAGTTTATACCAGGCTGAAATTTATCTGGCAGGATAATTGGATTTCCCTGGAAAGTGTCACATTAGGTAGGAATTGTAGATGATGTCCCTGCAAAACTAGTTAATAGGAAAAAGGTTTAATTGCTGCTTGAGTAATATTGATCAAATGCAGTCATTCTACCTATGTGTTTCTATATTAGGCACCACTGTGACTTGCACAATACAAACAGACCCATGCTTGCATTAGCTTGGATGGGTGGATGTGAATTTCCAAGAAATGTTTCTGGAAAGAGCACTACTCAGGTGAATAAATTTTCCCTGGACTCTGGAGGGATGATTCTGTGTGAGTGACAGCTGTGTCTGAAGGCTTGTGTAGGGCACCTAAATCCTACAGTTTAGCATCTCTTTGTGGGCTCTTGAAGCTAAATGTGATGCTCTGGAATCCCTGCTTTTACAACGTGACCTCAGAAGCATAAGTAGGAAGGGACCTCTGGTGTTCTCCTAGCATGGAGCCCATAGCTTCTCTGGCTGGCCTGATCCACTGCTGTGCTATCCTCCCTATAGAGAACTTTTTGCTCATGTCTGATGTGAGCGTCTCAGGTTGCAAATTTTATACCAAGATCTCCTATCTGTTGTCTTCATAACCTCCCTTCAATTAGATGGAGCTGTGATCAAGTTGCTTCTAAGTTGGTTGTACCAGTGGGTTCTCAGCCTGCCATGGTGCACGTGAATCTTGTCCCAGCAGCAAAACCTCACACTTCTTGCTGAGTTTATTGCAGTGCCTCTGGAAGGTGGCTCTACCATTCAGTGCTTTGGCACTTCCCCCAGGTTAGTGTTAGTGAAATATAGAGTTAATTAAAATTACTAAATAATCAGTGTCCTCAGATCAGTAGGGAAGCTGTGGGGTGAAATAAAACCCGACTGAAACCAGGACTTCCTTGTTCATTCCCAGCTGTCATCTGGACCCAGAGCCACTGATGTCTACACTCTGAGCCCAGTGGTTGAGCCGTTTTGCAGCCAGCACAACAGTACATTTAGCCAGCCAGAACTTCTTCAGCTTGCTAATGAGAGCAGTGTCACTGAAGTCAAGGTAGATCACGTCTGCTGCTTTCCCCATAGCCTATCATCTCAGCCTAGAGGGCAGGTGTAATTGTCATCCTGTGGCTGATTAATATTCCTTGCTTTTTCTCTTCGTGTTATTTTCAACTAAGGAGCTCAAATTGTTTTTTGCTCTCAATTCCAAAGAGCATGCCTTTGTATTTTGCAGTACTGAATTTCAAGTCCTTTCTGTTATTTGAGTCCTCAAGGCTGGCGGCTTTTCATCTTCTCTAGAATACTATGATCCTTCCCCATATTCTAAATGACTTTCCACTTTGATTGTGAGTTGACTCAGAATAGGGAGTTTGAGAAATTACAGCATGAAAGGAAGTAGACTTGGCATGGACTTGGCTTCAGGGTAGTACTGTTCTGCATTTAGCTACAGAAGGATTCTTAGTGAAAAATTTTTCTGCCCTACAATCCCCAATGCAAGGGAAAATCATTTCCAAAAGGTATATAAGGAGTGAAGGGAGTGTGACCTAGAAAAACTAGTAAGATGCATATGTCAAATACAGTTAATTTTTTTTACTAATGATACTGATCTATATATATAAAATGCTGAACAGAACACTTATCTTCTCTGTGTTCGGCCTCAGGCTACATTCCTCATCAAAGGCAGAGAGACCCTGTTGACATTTTCCTAGTGAGTAAATCAGTCATGAGAGCAACATATTTCTTTTCTAAGAACCATTTGGAAAGCCTTCTATTAGAAATTAGGACTCCTGGGTTTCCCAGGGCTCAGCATGTTCTTGAAACAGAGGTGCTCAGACTCATTCCTACTCTGCTCCTCCCTGCCCAGCAAACCTTGTGTGCAGCTCTCTGTCTCCTCACACTACTTCTGTGCACCACCATCCTCTCTCCCAGCAGGTGCAGCAGGAGCACTGTGGTGAGCAGGGGCAGAAGGAGCCCTCACCTTGTTTTCTGCACATCCATTTGTGTGCTGGGCTCCTTGTAGCAGGGCAGTGACCAGCTGGTCCATCCTAGCTGCAGATATTTTCTCTTCTACGAAATATGACTGAGGCGGCGCGGTAATTGTATGCAAATCCATGCGCAGATTAAAAAATTAATCAAATTCTGAAATTTTCATTTAAAGAGATTAGTCTTGAAAAATCCCCCATCTAATCCTCCCCAAGAAGTCACTTGGAACAAAACTTCACCGCTTTGTTTTCTTCCTGGGCTCAGCGCATCTCCTTGAACATTTTCTGGTGATGCTTTTGGGACCATCTGGAACGTCAAGTCTGAGTCTGAGCAGGGCTCAGCAGGCAGATTAAATTTGATCTATCAAATGATAGAAGAGATGTGTCAGTAAGTGGGAACAGGGGAGTTGAACGCAGTAAAATCTCCGCTGTGCTGTACTTCATAGGTAAGCTCCCACGTGAAAAATGGAAGCCGTAAGCCTAGGTGAGTCTAATGGTAATTTACCTACCAGGAGACCAGAGGAACGCTGTGTAGCAAGCGAAAGGAATAGCAAGAGATGCTTACAACTTGCTGTATCTGGTAGTTTACTGCTGTAACAAAGATGTAATCTGTCTTTTATGGCTTGAAATCAAAGTTATTCTCCAGAGGATTGGGGTTTGATCCCTCGGGGATTCTGGAGTCCTGTAGCTCTGTATGCCGTGGGCCAGCCACCAAGCACTGCCACGCTGAGAGCAAACCATAGAGGTCCTGATGACATTAGAAATAAACTGCCTTAGAACCCCAAAGATCTCAATTAAATTTGACATCCCAGAGCATCCTCGGGCCTTGCAGCATCTGAAACACTGGGGCTGTGTGGTTGAATCAACCTGCAGCAAGCCCAGTTGCCCCAACTTTAAGAAAACCACGAGCCTGTGATGCAAACCCTCAAACTAACCTCTAACTGCAGCACCCAGAACAAGTCTGGTTTGCTCACTGGTGGGAGGCTAGGCCCTAAAAGGGAATATTTTTCCACCTTTCAAATACCTGCCATGGAGCAAGGCATTGGCTCAGTTTTCTCTCTGCACAGGCAGCTCGTTTGTGCACTCTTTCCCTCCCCAGCGTGACTCTGAGCTTCTGGCTCAGACTATTCCCCCCTGTGTCTATGCTTTTGGTCTCTTGCCACCATCCAATTTACCTGGCAGCTTGCCACCTGTCTGCCCCTGTGCTGGATTGTTTCTGTCTCCTTCTGACATTGGCTTCTTGCCTGCAGAATTGCTTTAATTAAAAAGTTAATGAAAGGTAATGCAAACGACTGTTTTGCCTGTGTTTTATCACAGTCCAGCTTCTCTCCCTCCCTTTTTCCCAGAGAAGGTAAAAATGAAGCGCTGGGGTTTTGCTGCTTTTTGTAGTTAGTGGAGGTTTCTAGTGAGCTTAGGAGGAGCCCTGTGAAGAAAGAAATTACAATGGTTATGCATGCAAACAAGTATGCAAATGGTGAACGTTATTCACCAATGGAAGCTGAGGAAGTTTTCATTTAAAGGGGATTAATCTAAGCCCCTTACAGCTCTCTTTGTAGCAGGCGCTTCTCAGCATCTTTTTCCTCCTAAGATGAGTGTGAACCCTTGGAAACTTTCTAAAAGAATATTCCCCAACTGCCAGTTGTCCCAGGCAGGGACAAAGGGAAGGTGAAAAACCTCCACCTCATGCTTACAGCGTGTGACCTTGGATCCTCAGAGAGGAGGCCTTGTTCGCCCTTCTGTGACTTCCCTGAGAAACAAAGATCAGTGTATGAAGCAATGGGAGTCACTTCAAGTCCCTTCTCCCAGCCTGGATTCCTCCCAGACAGCAGGGAGAAAAGGAGAATGCAGAAGTGTGAGGATGCTATTTCCCTGCATGCAAGATACAGCAGCTTGCTGCAAGTCGCATCGTTTCTATACCCTTCATCTACAGAGGTAGTCTGAGAGCTACTATTTGGTTGTTTTCCTTCCTATGCTGCCCCTCCCTCACTGTGGGGTGTTCAATTTTCTTGATCTTGTTTTTAAAGCCCTCGTGAAATGAGTATGGGGTTGTTTTTTTTTTTTTGAGTGTGCTTTTTAATATCTACAGCGAATTTCTTAGCACTGATTTATAGCTGTTCCTTGTTGACATTTAGTATCCAGTGCTTGAGATGTATAAATAAATTACATTAACATGGATTTGTGACATCATTAGCAGCACGCCCATTCCAAGGGGAGCCTCCAGTGAGCCTGTGTGTCTAATCAGAGCTGTCAGAGAGCGGAGTTACAGCATGGAGACCTCCAAAGCTGATGGGTCTGTGCCAGATGCAGCTCTCTGTTGTGTTGTACAGCTGAGTAGCCTCTGGATGCAGGGAGATTTGCATTGGGCTTGCCCTGCATGTATACCTGCACTGAGGTTAGTGTAAGGGTTTCTGTGCAGATAGCATGCCTTAAGGCCTTCTGAAGCAGAGAAAAGATGCACACGTGCTGACTTCACCAGACTTTGGATCAGGTCTTGGTGGTTAAATTACAGTCCGAGTTCAGAGTGCAGAAAACAGATTACATGCCTGCTATTGTAGTGAAATGCTTTCAAGAACAGAGCAAGCATTAGCAGTATGTACACAAGTGCTAGATGAATTAAGCTGGCATTTATTTTTGCAGCTTCACCAGGAGAGGAGAGGATTGCTTTCAGATGACTTGTGCCTGCTGTGTCATGTCTGCAGCTGGAGCCGAGCGGAGCCGCTGGGAGGCCGCGTGTGACAGGCTCTGCGGCTGCAGGTCTGATTTTGCTCAGTTCCCCTGGACTTCAGGGTCAGCCATGCACAGAAACATCAAGGCAGCGCCTATTAAAAGCTTTGGGGCTTCATTTTCTTAAACTTGCCATCTTAGTTTCAGCTGGGACAGGGTTGTTCACTTCAGAGTGTCTGATACGATGTTGCGTTTTGGTTCTAAGTGAAGAACAGCCTTGGTAGCATACCAGCGTTTGTAATTACTGCTAAACAGTATTGTGCAGGGCTGAGGCCGTTCCATTTTCTCACTGAAGAGTTGGGAGGAGACAGAAATAGGGCAGCTGACTTAAACTGGCCAAAGAGATATTCCGTACTACATGACATTGTATGGAAGGAGAGTTTTGAAGGGCTGAGAGTTCATCTGGCTCTTCTTCTCACTGAGGGGGGCTGGCTGGGCATTGGTTGGTGAGTGCTGAGCAATTGCTTGTTATGTACATTTGTATATTCAGTCTCGGTTCCTAAGAGGTGCATGTCTCACTTCTCTGCTATTGGCACAGTTACTCAGGTCCTCGCTGTAGGAAGGCTGAGGCTCTGTGGTTTTTAAACTGCTTACAGCCCCAGCTGCCACGAGATTTTGGAACTTGTGAATGAAGTGGTCAGGAACTCTCTTACTCACCTCTTCTCAGGGTTGAAAAGACAGTCCTAAAGGAAGCAGTATCTAAAGGGAGTTTAAATAGGCAACTTGTCTGCCCTGCGTTTTGCCTTTAAAATTTGTTTCTCATAGGCACTGAATCTTTTTTTATCCAGCAAACCTGTGATCCACCACTTGGTTTTGTCTGCAACTCCTTTTTTTCCAGTGATTTCCAGCGTGTGCCCAAGTCCTATTGCCTGAGAATGTGCTTGTATGGAGATTTTCACGGAGCCTTTCAGTCTGTCCCCTGTCTTTGCAGGAAAATAAGGCAGATGTAGACCCAGTGGAGCTGTTGGAAAGCTAGTTGGCTTAATGATTAACACATTGCAGTGCTGTGGGAGTGTTAGGACAAAGAGAGACCTCTGAACTTGTGTGTTCCCTCAGAAGAAGAGGCAGAAGCTGGCCTTGCACTGAAACACATCCGTTCAGTAGAGAGAGAATTAACTGGCAGGTAATTTGAATGTTTCTACAATTAAGAATATTGCCAGGGCTGCCTCAGCCTCCTGGCACCCTACTTTAATTGCCTACACCATAATTGCCGTGAGCTGGAGAGATTGCAGATCACAGGGGTCCTTGGTTCTGAGAAACCAGCAATGAACTCAGTGCCAGCTAATGGAGGGAAGGAGTGCTGGGAGGGCATCAACAATGTGTGCTGGCAGGGGCTGCCTCTGCACTGTCTGGATGAATGTTTGCCCTTGAGAAGCTGAGGTTCTGCAGTCCTTGCTCATATCTGTTGCGTTTAATTCTAATAGTAGTCAGTGGCTCAGATGTGCTTTCACAGACCCAGCTGGGAACTTTGTCTGGATCTGAAGTCCTATTTGGGCTCTAAATATTATTTTAATGGATAATGAAAGAACTAAAATGTAAAAGAGAATGAAGCCAGGTGTTAATTTGCTTTTTGATGGGGCAAACTCATTCCTGGTCTTTCCACAGCCAGCGAGGGAGCAGGCAGCTAACAAAGCTGTTGCTTTTCCAAAGTCTGAGCCTGATGCTGCAGGGGAGCACGGGGCACCGCACGGCCAGAGAATGAGCTCAGCATTTGGCTGGCGCATGGAAGAGAGTTCATGGAGCGAAAAGCTGTTCCGCCCGGCCGCCCTGTTCTCTCCAGGACAGAGAGCAGCTTGCATGGTTTGGAAGGGTGTCAAAAGCTGAGCAAATTGAAATGATGGCTTGCCAGTGGCAAACATAGTGATGGAAAAGCTGGCTGGCAGGGCTCAGCTTCCCCGCAGGAGGTGATAGGATTGCAGGGGAACCAAAAGTTGACAGGTAGTTCGAATGTGATGCTGTGCTTCCCTCCCTACTGCCTGGGGTGTGGTGGGAAAACACAGCTGATACGGCACCTTAGTGAAGAGAAAACAGGAGCTAAAATTCCGTGGTGCATAATCTGGTCTCATTGCTCTCCATGTGACAGCCCTGTCTCTTTTGCTAATGAAAACGGTCTCTTTCACTTGCAGGTTGGTTGCTTGAGGACTCATCAGCGTTGGCACGTGCAAGCCCACCCCAAGCAGAGCAGAGCAGCTCAGCCTGGCCACCCTAGGCAGCATGTCCCTCCGTGAGCACGCGCTGTCCCTCTTCCGCAGCGCAGTGGGCACCGTCCGGCCAGCCCCAATGCTGAAGAGGGCACTGAAACTCCAGGGAGAGGGGTGCCCTCAGCTGCTGGTGAGCAGCCGTGCCTTCCCGTTGAAGAGGGACCTGTACTTGGTGGGGTTTGGCAAAGCTGTGTTGGGGATGGCGGCAGCGGCAGAAGAGATCCTGGGAGACCACCTCGTGCGGGGGATCATCAACGTGCCACTGGGCATCCAGGAGAGCCTGCAGCGAGCGGGAATGCAGTAAGGGAGCCCACACGTGCACAGTTTGGGTGGGAGTAAACTGCCAGATTTGTCCTGTGTGGGTTGTTTCTGTGAACACCCTCGGTCTTTTCCAGCTGCCATTGCTCTGGTGCCCACCGTGTCCACTTTCCGTTCCCCTCTGGTGCACCAGGAGTGATTCTCTGCTGGGTGACAGGCTGGCTGCCTGCAAAGGTACTCGTGTCAGTGATGTGATTGCCTTCCTTTCCCGTACAGGGAGATGCTGCTGAAGCCACACAGTAGAATCCAGGTCATTGAAGGTGCCAAGAACAACCTCCCTGACCCGGAGGCTCTTAGGGGAGCAAGTGCCATTCGGGAGCTGGCTGAGGGCCTGACAGCGGATGACCTGCTCCTTGTGCTCATCTCAGGTGGGGATGCCAGGGAATAGGCTGTGCTGAGTGCCCCTGCTGCTACAGCCCCTCCAGCTACTTGGCCAAATGCAGCTGTGCAGCAGGGGACTGCTGTGCTGTTCTGGCCCTTTCAGTGATTTCTCCTCTCCCTTCTCTCATAGGATTTTTTTCAGGAGTGCAGCAGGGGAAGGCACAGGGTTGCCCCAAATCCTGGGGATGCAGGCTGGGATGGTGGTACAAAGGCTGTCAGCTGCTCTTACCTTTTGGCAAGGGTGGCACTTTTTTCCTATCCCCTCCTTAAATCTGAAGATGCAGACTTAAGAGAGGCTTGGTTGATTCACAAGCTCTGAAATCGTTGATTTGGGACTGACCCTCCTTAGAGCTTTGCTTTTTCCCCTCACTTTTACTGTGGCCAGTGGAAATGAGGCCCAAGCCTCTGACACAGCTGCACACCTTGAGGGTCAGCCCTGACCGCATCCAGGCGAACACCCCCAGGCCCTGAGCGTTGGGTCAGGACGTCCTCAGGCCCGGGGCTGTATTTGAAAGTGGATATCGTGCATCAGAGGGATGCAGTAACATTGCCACAGCTCAAGCTTGGCTGGGTGATTCAGGACAAAAGCAAGCAGGGGCTTGGAGCAGCTCTGCTGAAACCACTTGGTCTCTGCTTGGTAATTGTCATTGTATCCATTGTGGTTGCTGAAGCGTGATGTGGTGCAGAGAGCACAGAGCTGTTAGGCAGTCACCCAACTAGCTGACATCTAGCTGTTCTCACTAGGGATTCCCCCGGGTGTCCTCCTGTCCTTTGGCTACTGGCATCTCCAAGGGACTCCTCAGCCCACCAGGACCTACCTGTGGCTCCTGGTGCACGTGCACTCCCACACAGCAGCCAGTCCCCAACTGCTGCTGCCTCTCAGCTAGAATCCTGGCTATTGACTGAAACCTAGGCATTTGCATTTGTTTTTCTTGCTCATCATGTTTTATTGATGCTGATTTGTCCCAAACCTCTGAGCAGATTTTGCCTTTTGACGGTAGCTATCAGCTGTACTTTTGTGCATGTTCACTCTCTACTCACATTTTTCTCCTTTCCATTCTGTATTTTCCACCCATTTCACTTCACCATTCTGATCCTTTTCCTTACCTTCTTTTGTACGTTTCCAATGCCCGCTTGTGTCAGTTGCCCTGATAGGATTCCCACTGATAGAACTGTCACCCTGGGTGTGCTTTGTTCCATGTTATTCTGTCCCCTTTTTTTTAACTCCCAGACCTAGGTGTGTGCAGTTAGGGGGGTGGTTTCCTATCTTAGAGCAGCCACGGCTGTTTTTTTCTATGCTCTGTGTTGAATCAATGGAACCAGCAAAACCTGCAGCATCTCCATCTACATAATGCTTCGTGCTCTGTGAGTCCTGAAGTGTGTGGTCCTGCTCATCCATCCAGGGAGCCCTTGAAAATGAGTGTGGGAACACACTAGCAGCGTGATATTGTGGGGATAGGAAGTTCTGGCTCTTCTCTGTGGTACCCTGATCCAATGAGGTTTATGCTGTCTGTGTGAAGTGTAGCTGACTGCAGGCAGTGCTGGGCTGCCATGATTAAAGCCTGTTGGTGAAGGAAATTTCATTTGCCATTTCCCTGACCAGCTCTGCCTTCCCTCCACAGAGTGCTGAGGGAAGGGGAAAGGCTGCTCCTGCTCAGCTACTGGACAGCCCAACTTTATTCCTGTCCCACTGTAATGTGCGCTCAGTGTCTACCATCTCTTCTGCATCCTAGGGGGTGGATCAGCCCTGCTGCCTGCTCCCATCCCTCCCATTCTCCTGGAGGAGAAGGAGAAGCTCACCAAGATGCTGGCTTCCCGAGGAGCTGCCATACAGGAGCTGAATGCTGTCCGGAAAATTCTGTCTCTGCTGAAAGGTGGAGGGCTGGCCCGCCTCGCATATCCTGCACAGGTAACCAGAGGAAACCTCTGCTTGCACAGAAGTCTGCCTCCTAAACAGTGGTTTAAACAACTGACCAAAGTGCTGTTTGTGCATTGTTTTGGGTTTGTGACTTCACTGAGGACCCAAACTCTCAGGGAGAGAGGTGGAGGAGGGGAATTCACACCTGGCCATCCAATTGCACCACTCGGCAAACCTCAGCCTTCACCCAGCAGGAGTTTCCATCACACTGGTCTCATTGCTCTGCTCACTCCCATTGCACTTTCAGAACCTTAGCTCACCCAGAGGCTGTTCTCTCACTGGTGTGCCAGCTGAACCCATGCTAGGTTATCGGCCCAGGCGTGGTGGCATCTGTTTTTGTTCCACTGTGATAGTCCAGCATCAAAAGAGACTCAGTGGGTTGCAAAAGAGCAAGGTGGCTCTCAGGGTACTTTAAAATAAAAAAGGCCCAAGATCTCCCCTTGTTTTGCGATGAAGGTAGCAAAGTGTAACTCAAAGCAGTGCACACGCCGGGACAGCAGCGCAGTCAGCCATCCCTGCTTCCCACAGTAACCCACCAGCATTGCTCTTGGCAGGTGGTGAGCCTCATCCTGTCCGACGTGATTGGTGACCCCCTGGATATCATAGCGAGCGGGCCCACTGCCGCCAGCTCCCACAGCGTCCAAGACTGCCTTCGGATCCTGGCCAAATACAACCTGCTGCACAGCCTGCCCAGCTCCGTGGAAGCAGTTCTCTCCAGCTCTCCCACCAAGCCCGCTGCTGCAGAAGACTACTCCCACGTTTGCAACGTCATCATTGGGTCAAACACGTTGGCTTTGGCTGAGGCCAAGCGCCACGCAGACAGCCTGGGCTATGCGACCCTGGTTCTCAGTGCGGCGGTCTGTGGGGATGTTGGCCGTGTTGCTGTGCTGTACTGCCAGCTGATCTGCCTGCTCTGCCTGCACTTGGCCAGCCCTGGGGAAGGGCCTCGGGGCTCTGAGGTGAAGGAGAACCTCCTGCAGCTGGCGGCAGAGTTAGACATCCCAGGTTTGAACATGGCTGAGTTTCTGCAGGCCCTGCAAGGAATGGAGCCCCGGAAACCGGTCTGCATCCTGGCTGGAGGAGAAACTACGGTTCAGCTTCAAGGAACTGGGAAGGGAGGGAGAAACCAAGAGCTGGCTCTGCGAGTGGGGCTGGGGCTGCACAGGGCACAGGGTGTTGAGGCCAGCAGCTTGGGCAGGTGTGATGTCGTCTTCCTGAGTGGGGGAACAGACGGGCAAGACGGGCCCACAGATGCAGCTGGGGCTTTCTGCAGCCCAGAGCTGGTGGCTGAGGCGCTGCAGGAAGGCCTCGATGCAGAGACCTTTCTCAGCAACAATGACTCCTATGCCTTCTTCAGCCACTTCCAGCGTGGACGTCATCTCCTGGTGACTGGCTTGACGGGCACCAACGTCATGGACATCCAGGTTATTTTAATTAGAGCCACGGACAGATCATGAGAGCTCCCTCTGCAGATATTCGGATGCATTTAATTAGGAGCAGGGGTAAATAAGGCCATAAACATTGCAGATGAAACTACTTAAATTAGGGCTTGCTGTCAAGGGTGCTAATATCTCTGACAGAAAGAGTCCACTAATTAGGAAAAACCAAATCCACAGTAAAAGCACTGGGAACAGTCAAGCTCTTGTAATTGGGATTAGAAGAAGGTAAGGAGTCGCACTGTGGATGTGGATGCTGCATTTAGCACTTCTGCAGAGAGCCACTACTGCTGTGACAGCTTCAGCTGTGGATGAAAGGCATGGAGAAAGCGAGGCCATGGCGCAGCTGCTGGAGAGAGCTCCCAGAGTGGTGTGGGAACCCCCTGTGATCCTGGGAGAGCCTCTGTGCCGGCAGGCTGTATGTTAGGAGCTTTCATGGTGTTGTTTTCCAACTGGCCGGAAAACAGTCGCACGTCCAGCCTGAGCACTGACCTTTCTTCTGTGCCGAGGCAGAAGTCGCTGTCACTCTGATTAACTCTGCTAATTCTGCAGAACAAAAGGCAAGGAAGCCTTCATGCTCAGCTCTCCTGACCCATGCTGCTGAGCTGATCAAAGGGCAAAGCTGCCAGAGCTTTGCTTTGACAAGGAGCTGCTCCCTTACCCTCTGAGAACACCGTGGTGCTGCCGGTTTTGCTGCTGACTGCTGTGCAATACATGGGAGAGCAGAGATGAGCTGGGTTTCCCAGGATGCAGGGCTGAATTTTAGCTGGGCTCTGGCTACCTATTCAAAGCTCAGCAGCCGGTATGACCCAACACGTTCAACTCCTTTGAAAAATCTGCCTATTTGTCACAGAGCCTAAGTGGGAGCTGAGCTCCTTTGAAAATCCAGCCCTAATTTAATAGGACACGCTTGACTCAGACTCTTCCCAGACAGACTAGCCTGCTCCTTGTGGCTGATCTAATCTCGTGGCACAAATTCTCCATCCTGCCAGCACGGTGAGTAGTGTGTCACTGGGCAGCAGTGAGCTCCGCTCAGAGGATTGGAGGGTGGATTTCTGAGGAAGCTGTGCACCTCCTGCTTTGTTGTTTAAGCTGATATCTGACAAGTAGGAGCATTGGCAGGACTGCCAAGGTGGCCAGCCCCTTCCCTTGGTATCAGCACCACCCTGAGCCTGTGCCCGCAGCCTGAGCTCATCGCAAGGGGATTTCAAAACCCAGCTCTTGGGGGTAACTACAATCCCACGTCTCCTTTGTGCTTCAGGGCTGAAGGTCTTCTGCAGCATGCCTGAGCTTGCTTGTGCTGGCAAGCAGCTTGGAGATCTGTTGAGGAGAGCTGCCAAGCATCACGAAGCTTGTTGGGGGCGATGGCACAGGAGCAGGCGCTTTGTGTTGGGTGTTTTCTCCCAGGGTCACCATTGGGCTTCAGAGCATTTGCCTTTCACGGTGTGCCTGGTGTGCCAGCCCTGCAGGCATGCAAGCCAAAATGTGGGCTGGGGCCCAGATGGACGGGCTGAACCTTGCCCCACAGTGCTGCAAATGCTTCATGTCTTAATTCTAATCAAGCGAATTCCAGAGTGACTCCAGCTCCAGCCATTCCCTGCCTTCTCCTGGGAAATCATTGAACCACAGCATGGTTGGGATGGAAGGGACCTCAGCCCCCATCCCTGCCATAGGCTGGCTGCCCCCCAGCTTGGGGCTGCCCAGGGCCCCTCCATGGCCAGGAACACCCCAGTGCTGGGCACACATAGCTCTGGGCAGCAGAGCCAGCGCCTCACCACCCTCTAAAAATTAAAAATAAAATTGTCCAGAGCAGTTTCCTTTTTTTCCCCAACAACTTTACAGTTTTCTTCAGAGGAACTGATTTGTTCCAAAATAACTTCACTTTCGTCATCTTTCTCAAACAGGAGGTTTTGGAAACTGGAGATCCGGGGGAATTGGCAGAGACAAATGGGTGTTGTGTTTGCCTTGTCTTTTCTTTTTCAGATGAGCAAGATAGCCTTGTCTTTCTTCTCTCTTCTCTTCTTTGGTGTCTGTTCTGTCAGGTGGGCAAAGTGAGTGGCCAGGCACGATGTTCTCCCCCTCAGCACCGTGCGTGCAGGCAGAGCTCCCTGCTTAGCCACCTCAATACGTGCTGCACCTCTGGGAGAGGTGTCCTCATCCCCATGCAGAGGGCTGTGGGAGAGCTCAAGCTGGTCATGCTGTGGTGGGCAGGCTCTGCACAGTGTGCTGCTCACAGCCAAGCGCTGCTCGTGGCTGGGAGAAGTATCAGTGCTATGAACGGTGCAAGCTTTTGGCAGTAAATTAAAAACCTTGGCTGCTGCCCTTGGCTCTGCTCTTGCCTCTTAGGAGGCATTAATATCACAGCTCCCCAGCTTTCCCATTATCACTTCATTAAGGATCCAATAATGATAAATGTGGATGGTTTTATTTTGCGCCGAGCCTGATTAATGGCTAATATTTCACTAGGTGTTAATGGGGCCCTTCTTTTATGAAGTGATCGGAAGGGGTCCGCCTTTAATCTCTTCCCTGAGCTGAGTAATTTCCACTATTTTCCTTAACGTGACAGATTTAATGCAAACCTTTACAGAGCGGCGGCGGCCTCCTGAGGAACTTTGAGGAGTGCTGCGTTTGGGGCAGCCCTCAATGCTGCAGCCGTTCCCTGGCTCCTCTTCCTCTTCTTCCTCTTCCTCCTCCTGCATGCTCGGTGACACAGGGAAGCTGCCGCAGGATGGAGCAGTGGATGCCTTCCAGCAGCACATGGGCTGCTCCCCGCTGTCGGACCCCAGCGCCTTGCACGGCTTCAATCCCTATATGAAGTGGGATGTATGATCACATAGGAATAAAAAGCCATACAGGACAGTGAGGCGCTCTGTGCTCAGCCAGGGTGGACTCAGGGAGCCCTGTAGCTCCTTCGGGGGTCCGTGGGGAGGCAGAGAAGCCCTGTGTGAAACAAGAGGTGCATTTCAGCAGGGTGTGACCGCTTGCTCTGTGTTAACAGAGCCCAACCCCTGCACCAACCTGAGTCCGGCATCGCTGTCTTATCCTGGAGCGTCCCCACACTGTGTCTGCTTGTACCACTCCCATTGTTTCAGCCCCAAACACCCCCCTGCTGCAAACACAAGGTGGGGAGGAGAAGGGGCTCACCCCACAGCCATCCCCCTGCACTGGAGCATCCCCATGCATTCCCTCGCTGTCTGGCCTGGTAGAAGAGGAGTGAGCAGATCCAGGGAGCTGTCAGCGCCCGGCACGCTGCTGTCAGTGCAAATCCCCTGGCAGCCCATTAGGAGCAGCTCCAGGCTGCCTGCAGGAACTCTTGACAGGAGGCCAGACACCGGCGTGAACAAACACGGCTCCTCCGCAACGAAGGTGGACGTGGGCGGAATGAAGCCGGGGATCGGTTCCCCAGGGTCGCTGCTCTTTGATGGATGCTCATGGAGTGCAGGACCAGAGCGAGCCCCTGGGCACGGCGGTGCTGGAAACCCACCCGAGAGATACGCACTGAAGGCTTCCATACCTCTGTTCCTCATTGCAGCATCACCTGCAGACGTGCTGTGCCACCCAGGGCCCCGTCGGCCCTTAGGGAACACCACTGCCAATCCAAGCCACCGTGCGGCGGCACCAGGAGGCTCTGATCCTCAAATCCACCCCCAGGAACCCTCCTCCATCTCGGGAAACAGCTCTTTGGGGTCTGTGATTGCTTCTCCAACATGTGGGACAGCAGGTCAAGGGGTCATACGGAAAGCTGTGCCCGTGAATCACTGCACCCAGGCTGGGTAGGAACACCGACAGTGCCGTGTTTGGGAGTAATTACTCTCCACGAGCGTGTGAATCATTAGCTATAATTGCCCTAATAAATAAAAGCCTGATAACTTCAGTGTCTGGCTTCATCCGCGAGCTGCTGGTGGAGCGAGCTCAACCACATAAAACCAGGAGTGGAGGGAAAGCAGAAAGAGCTGAGCTTCAAAACCACGGCTTTGCCCACGTTGACCCACAGGCTCTGTCCCGTCTGCACCCACTGGCACTCAAGGTCCCCCTGTGGAGGCTGAGCTGGGGCACAACCTCTGCATAGAGAAGTTTCCATCACTGCAAAGCGGAGCAAAAAGGCTCTGGGGGTGGCACTGAAGTTACCCGCCTGCTCCTCCCCTGGGGAATGCTGGAGTGAAAAAATAAAGCCGCCCCGCTCCGAGATGACATATGGAAACGAAGCAGAAAGCGGCTTCTCCACTTAAAATGTCATCACAGACTTTGTTCAAAAAAAAAAGGAGCCTTCTCAGAGTGACATTTTAAGGGGAAATGTTGACTTAAAACCAGAAAGAAACCCCTCAAACCACACAAGGAACCGTTCTAAGCCGCGCTGAGCCTTCCTGCATGGAAATCAATATTTTTGCAGCAAAAAAAAAAGAACACACACAAAAAAACCCCCAAAACTACTATCTCAAGTAAATGTGGATCCTTGGTGGATTGAATTTCCTACGGGACAAAACCAGCCTCCCTCTGCCCGGCCCTGAGGAAGCAACGCTGTCCTGGTTCGTGCTGTGCCATGCTGTCCCATGCTATGCCCTAGTGTGCCATGCTATGCCATGCCATGCCTTGCTGTGCCATGCCACCCCCTGCAGCCCTCCCACTGGGGCAGGTTGGCCAGCAGCAATCTGTGCTCCAGCTCTCCCCGCGCCCTGGTTATCGCCGCCTGCCTTGTGTTTTTTTAATAACCTGCAATATGAGAATGCTGCCCTGGGGAGCACGGGGATTATTGTCAAATAGCACTTCCTATTCGCTGGCCTTCGAGGGGCCGCATCCAGGTGGCACTGCTGGCAGTGCGGAGAGGGACACAAATGGGAGGGCTGGGGCTGGCCAGCACTGCAGGCACCACGGACCCTCCCAAGGAGAGCCGGGTGGCAAGGGCTGTGGAATCTTCATTAGCTTTTCAAAATGAAGGAATTGGCAGCCAAACAAACAAACAAATCAGAGATGGTGGCTCCGGCTACCTCTCCTGGTCCCCAGGCAGTGAGCTGCCAGCACAAGGGATCTCAGCGTCACAGAGTGGGGATGTGGGGACATGGGGGACGTGTGCCACCCCGCCAGGAAATGGAACCTGAGGGGATGGGACTGTGCAGACATATGGGGTCAGCAATGGGGGGAAGCACAGCACTGGCACCCTGTGCCAGTAGACCATGGTCCCAAGCAGCAAAAACTCATTCACAT